TTTGTAAAGAGCCAGTAATGGAGTAGATAAATGAGTGAAGATGGTAAAGATGCTAAATTGTGATCATGAAGACCTAGATGGATAGTAGTTTCAGAAGCATTGCATTGCTAACCAACAATGAAGACTGAGAGTTTGCATCTCAGACCTTTGTATGCCTAAAACTGTAAAAACCTCGCTTTGTTAGGTAAAGGGCCAAATTGCTTTAATACTATGAATACACACCATCCCATGGAAACCCTGGGGGATTGAAGTATTGGAAAAGCACACTTCTCATTGTACCGAAATTAAAGGCAAAAGGTAGAACATTGAGGTGACAAGGATCCAAGTCCTCACCAGTTGGGCAGAGGTGTTGATAGTATGCTAAGGACCATTTTGTCCCAAAAGCTTAATCTGATTGGCGAAGGCCTAGGAGTGACTTTTATTATTATCTCTTAACAAATGGGTTGCAGCGGATTTAAACCTGGTCATCTTGAATATAGGTTTCTCTGACCCGCTTTTTATGAATATTGCCTAACTTAGCTGTTGCCTTTGCCTTCCTCTTCCAGTTTTGTTGCTTTATTATTCTCCTTTCGATACCAAGTCATGTAATTTTTGATTCTGAGGACTAGGTCGTTTATTTCTTGAATTTTCCTATTTAGATTGTGAAATTTTTTTTGAGCAATTTTTCAATAAATGGTATAGATGCATTTTTCATCTTTTACAGACTTATAGATCTATTGGTTATATATTTTATTTTTTTCCCAATAAGAGAATATTGGGATTTCATTCGTTTAAGAGTGTTTCTGCGTGATACTTGAGCATCATATATAAAGGGCATGTCATTTGATATCATCTCCCTGATTCAAGTCTTGTGGATGTCCTTGCATATTGAATTTGGCTCTGCATCCTAACTTCAGAGTTCATTTGCTTAACACGGGCTTGCAGCGTAGAATTTGAAATGACCAGTTAAGCCTTGACTCCTGCTGGCAGCTTAAGCATGGGGCCATGGTTCATTGCTTTTGTATTTATATAGGTTTCGAAGTGTCATTTCCCCTTTCTTATTTAATTTATTTGTTATTCTTCTTTCTGATAAATCAATATCAAGTGCAATTGGCTGCAGGATTTAGCCATGCAGTAGGAATAATATGTTATTATGAATTTCAGGTTCGCCAAGAAATATCTCCCTTTGTTATGACTGTTATTTCATGCTTGCTCCCAATTCTTCAGCATGCAGAGGTTACTGTCTTATCACTTTCTTAATTATAAATTTGTCATGTCTCGTTTCTAATTGTCAAACTGTTTCATCAGGGATTACACAAATCACTTGTAGAAAACAGTGCAATAACGCTGGGAAGGCTTTCTTGGGTCTGCCCAGAGCTGCTATCACCGCATATGGAGCATTTCATGCAATCTTGGTGCAAAGCTTTGTCAATGTAGGTTAATGATTATTACACATTCAACTGTAATTCATGCTAATTATTGTTGAAGTCTGTGACTCTGTGGCTCTTTTCCTGTCTTTGTTTTGAGAAACATGGAACTTCTGTGATAGAGTACCACTTATTGTGGGGTAATGGAAGATATGGGAAGTTAGAGAAATTTAAGGAATAAACATTATTTTAAGTTATTTTAGATATCTTATGTTTAATAATATTATTTAGGTTGTTAATAGGATCTACTTTATCTTAAATATTGAAGTTAGGTTATCTTGGTTTATTTAGTTTATCTTGGATCAAATATTTAAATATTTTGTTAGAGATATTAGGATCATCTCTAGATTTTATTATTTTATTTTAATGTAATCTCTTGTTATAAATAGGCTAGCCTTCCTAAAGATAGTCATTGAGTGAATAATATATCAATTATTTCTTTCTCTCTTTTCTTTGTTAAACTTTCCTTTCCTTTATTTTTCCTGAATAGTTCTTGAGCACCTATCATCCTGAAGGTTTAGGAATTCACCACCACCATCATCTTCTAAGAGTCTGCGAGTGTATTATTGTCATGGATCTTTAGTTATCTCATATCATCATATTTCCGGGCTTGTATTTTTCATTCAAGAATAGGAATTAAACCCTCGAGTGATACATGTGTTTAAGCTAGCCAACTTCAAGAGCCAGCAATCAGAGAGGGAGATAATGGACTAAGAATGAACTTTATGAAAGAAGAGCTGGATGAGGGAACCCCAGGGGCTGGGAAAGGTGAAGCTCAAAGAAGCCAAGGAGATAGAAGGGCACTAACTCTTAACAGTTTAAAATGGGCTTCCTTTTATATAACGTGCTCTGGGGTGTGCTATTTGGTGCTTTGTAGTATTTGGCACATATAGAGCTATCCCCTACAGCATACTAACCGAAACTTGGAATGCTACAGTTGTGGTTCTGCACCATCAACCACAGACCAGAGGGCTAGCTCTGTATATTCGAAACTCACGTGCAGGATAATATTGATGAGGAGAATCTTTCTTTTGACATGTCTTCACTTTATTAAGGATGGCCTTTTATGTTTTCAATTGCCTTGCCAAGTATTGATTTCTCTTATAAATTATTTGTGGCAGGATACGTGATGATATAGAGAAAGAGGATGCTTTTAGAGGCCTATGTGCTATGGTGTGCACCCTTTTACCTTTTCAAATGTTATATTTAGGCTGCTTATGTAATTGTTTCATTTCATTTGTTTTCAGGTCAGAACCAATCCGTCTGGGGCTCTAAGTTCGTTTCCTTATATGTGCAAAGCTATTGCAAGTTGGCATGTATGTTTGCGCCTTGACCCTCGTCTTAAAATTACAGTGCTCTGAGAGTCTGAGGTTTCTTTATTAGTTTATTTGCTTTTATCTACAGGAAATACGAAGTGAAGATTTGCACATCGAAGTCGGCCAGATCTTGCAAGGATACAAGCAGGTAAGTATTGCTTCTCTGACACATCTAACTTGAGAAATTATAACATTTAGCTGATAGCTGCGAATTTTTATTGTAAATTGAGGAAATAAAGTACCACTTTCAAGTGTAAAATTGCTGTTAATAATGCATATTCTTTCTGATTCCCGATTATCTTTATGATGGGAACTAACTAGAAGCTCTATATCCATCTTGTGTGATAGATGCTAGGCAATGGAGCTTGGGACCAGTGCATGTCTGCTTTGGAACCCACAGTAAAAGGAGCGCTTTCAAAATATCAAGTATAAGACAACTGTATTGTATGTAGTGCCGCAGAATAACGCGAGTTTGCACAGTTTGTGAGCCTCATCTGGATCGGCCTTGTTCGGTCATTCTGTGCATTTTCAAGCAAATTGGAGTCGTGGCTTATTCCAGGAAGGCGTTCCAGGTCTTCGTTGAGAATCGTCATCACCACTCATCCTATTCATTTGGTCTTGATGGTTACATGGCAGTTCCTCAAGACTCGAAGATCTCAGGCGATGGTCTTTCCCATGAGAAAGTCTTCTGTTTAGGATTGGCTTGTAATATGAATTATTGCACAGGGGAAAGGCATTTTACGAGTTGCGGGTCCTTCATTCTTCTGTTGTCCTTACATTTGAGGCTTAGATTTTTATTCGAGCCCCTTGTTCATCAATTTTCCAATATTCTAGCCATTTAAGTTGACAGGTTCCGCGGATTTTGTAAGGGGATTTCCAGATTGATGTTTCATCATTCATATAATGGTTGTGATCTCTTAATATTCATTCATTCATTATTATTCCTAAGGGAGATTTTTTTTTTTTTTTGAGATACGAGGAACTTGAAATATATATTTGAAACAGCAGTTGAGGCAATATTCACACATTTTTGTCTACTTTCTTGAGTGGTCCTCTTGTAGCTTCGAAACCGTATGCGCTTGTGCAATAGTGAGGCCTCATAAGGAATGAGATTGCCAATGCATGATATTAAAAAAAAAAAAAAAAAAGAAAGAAAGGACAAAAGAGCTTGGGAATATATACTACTTTCAGTTCTGAATATAAAAACTAGTTTGATTTTCAGAATAGTCTTTATATTGATTATACATGTTAAATGCTTGTTAAATGTTAAAGCTAATATTCTTGACTAGTAAGGATATTTTAGGAAAAACAGTATCTATTTATTATAAATAACTAATTTAACAAATTTTTTTAATCAATTCAAATAAGTCAATTAGTTTTTATATTAAAGATCGGAAGTAGCATTTTGCAATTACTATTGCTACTAGCAACGTAAACTGTGTCAATACTGATCACTATGAGCATGTTTAGAATCATTTTGAAAAATGCTTATAAACATGTTTTACGTAAGTCGAGACAAAATTTTTGTCACATACTTATTTCGTATTCTATAAATCATGATTGAAAAGTTACTCATAAATCATTCCAAACAAACCCATGTGAGTTCATTTTGGGATATTTGGAATTAACAAAAAGCACTTTTAAAAGTGTTTTTATATAAATCAAGATAAAATTCCTCTTAAATATTTATTTTATATATTGTAAAATCACTTTTAAAATCATAATTTGATTTTAAACACCCCAAATTATTGGATAAGTTATTCACAATTGCCTATGTCAAATCTGCGGAAAATTTGTGTAAATCAAATTACCGTTAACTGCTTCAATTGCATTTGGCGCCAAAAACATGATCTCATCAATCTTCCAGAAAAAAGAGAATCACCCCAAGTCAAATCAACCCGATGAGAGCCAACATGAGTATAGGATTATCAGTGAGGCACACCAGCTATGTAATCGGGATTGGGAGGTTGAACTCCTGTATGTTCATCGACGTGGAAATGCGGCTGCAGATTACCTAGCAAAAACGGGTCTCGGAGGGATGCATGGATTCAACGTGGTTGATTATACTCTCGACGAATTGGCTACCATCATGAGACAAGATGCTACGACGGTAGTAGACAATAGGCTTTAGTTAAGGTTTCTTTTGTTTTCAAAAAAAAAAAACATTCTTGCCCAATTATGGATTTACATGACGCATGTACCATTAGCACATGTATATCCATAAAGATAAATTTTTTAATAGCTGGAATATAATTAGTAATTGATTGAAAAAAAGGGTTCAATTGGAGACACAGATACAAGGTCTGGAGCTGATAAATTGATTCTGGGTTGCTAGCAGTTCAATTTTTTCCCATCTCTTGATATCTTCTTGACGGGCAGCCAGTTCTCTGGCTTTCAGGTCTTGGAGACTCCTGGAATAAAGAACGGGATCCATATCGTCAAGCATTACCTTTACACTTTCTGTTAATTGTCGAACGTTTCTGCTCCAATGCCACTTCAGGTTCCTCTCCATCCCTTCCACTATCACCGGAAACACTTCCGCCATTGCCGTTGACACCATTTTTACGAACTGCTCGTTGTTCCATGCATACAACGCACGTTCTGCTACCTAAAATGCAAACATATATTTGTTTAATAAATATCCCAGACACTTTGTTTATCATATATTACTGATATCAGAAACAACTTGAAGGGAAAGCAATCTGTGGGCTTTCAGCCTCGTACGTAGGTTGGAGGTCGATCATATCATTTTCAGGAGAACTTCTTGCAAGGAGATTAGAAGGTCGATCATATCATTTTCAGGAAAACTTCTTGCAAGGAGATTAGAACTGGATATACCAAAACATAGCAGGTAATTCTCTCTGATCTATTAAAGTTTTGATTGAATAGAAGTTGATATATTTTGAGGATCAAGTTGCTCCCCGCTAAAAGAAAAAGTGAAGATTTTACCTGGGAATTCCAACTGTTAATGCATTTAATGACCTGTGTACACAAGGGCAAAGCCAACTTTCTATGCTGATCAACCTCCAAATTCTCCACCAGATCTTTCAATTCTCCGATCAACAGAAGCTCTTCCTGGCAATTCGTGACAGGCCATAATTTCAAGAGTCCGCCAACCATAACCCCTCCAAGCATCGGCTCCTTCGGCACAAACCGCACCATACAGTAAGCCAATTGCCTGTGGTGCATGTGCACACCCTTGGGCTTGTGCAGAGGGATTAGCACTCTCATCAGAAACAACTTGTGTTCTTCTTTCAGTGGCACCGTAAACGCATTAATTATAGTTCCCCATATCTCAAGCAACTCTGCAATCTCACAATTCTTCTGCGTCTCAAACACATAGTTCAACAACACATCATTCATCGATTTGCTCATAAAGGAACGTTCACTGGCGAATTTCGTATATAATTTGTGGTACACATTTTTCAAGCTTTCGCGTTCTCTTCTGTCTTCAGATTGGAATAGTGTCAATAGCTTAAGAAGAAAAGAGTGATCTATATGATTTCTTAGCACGTCGGTTTCGGTGGTAATGACGAGTCTTAGAAGGATATCGTATACAATTTGGAGGTGCGACCATGCGGGTGAAAAAGCAGAAAGGGGGTCATCTTCTTCAGGTAAGTCTGACGCGCAAGAATTAGGCAGTGGACGGAAGAGATTCAGAGACACCACGGAAAGCAGAGGGGAAAGAAGTTTCTCAGGGAGGGCCTTCTTGGAGGACCTGACGAGGGTTAGGAGGCGCGTGAGATGAAGGCGTTTGAGGTCTTGCCGTGACGGGGATTCCGAAGGGTCAGTAAAGGTGAATACAAAGTTGCAGGAGGAGATGAGAGAGAGGATTTCTTCATTTCCTGAAGTGGGAGAAGGCATGAGGATGCCATTGTTGGGGAAGACAACGTTGTCTTGCTCGAATAGGTTCTGATGAAGGGAGGTTAATGTTCCGTTGCTGCCCATGTTTTCTCCTTCTTCTCTGCCTTCTCCTGCAGATTTAGGTGAAGTTTATGGGAGACTTTAATTTGTGCCTTTCTGGTTATATATCTTTTTCCAACTTGTGTGCCTTGTTCGGCTTGTCTGAGCAACGCAGCTGTGGTGCATGCAAAAGAAGGCCTCGAAGTGTCCGACAGCGTATAGATTTGGCAGGGTATTCTTCCGCTGCGTATTTGCCACGTGGTATTCATCCTCGCTTAATCTATAATGGTTTCTTATCCTTTCTCATTCCGCATTCCTATCCACAGCCAAATTATTGCATTGAGTTGGAACTAGCAAAAATTGAGTCTAACTCTTAAATTTGTGATTTTCATTTCTTGAGATGATCATGTGTTTACTGTTTATATAAATAGAACTGCCTATAAAAATGATATCATAAATGGGTAAGATGTTCATTCATGAAATAATTTTCCCCCCTGTCCTCTAGAACCCTGATGTAATTTTATAGAAATATACTCTTGGGTGTCAGCATGAGTGTGTTCCTAAGAAAAATATAAACCAAGAGAATATAATTTTGTTGTGTTTGAGCATTGAAGGCAGGGTGAAATAATTGCATGTGAACCTTCAAAAGAAATGTGGAAATATGATAATTACGACAGAAGATTATCCCTCTCATGAAAGATTTCCATAGGAGTCTCACCTAATTAAGCTTTCTATAAGTTTCAAATCATCCCAAACGTATCCTCTTCTTGAGGATATCCGTGGGGGGTGGATACTTGAATTTGTTTGGATTCGTTCTGTGTGATCCGAGCAGGAACAAAATATCATAAGTCGCCTCAATTTTTCAAGTAGAAAACGAACAATGGATGAGACAGCAGGTTCCTCGTACTGTTTCAAAAAAAGAGAATTTGAGCGTGCCAAATCAAATGGAATGAGTCGGAGTTAATTTGATACTTTTGAACTGGTATATTAAACTTTCCAATGTTTGGACATTTTCAGAGACGGCCAATATCTTGGCAGGAACTAAAATGCGCATAATGCGCATGTTCGAAAGCATACACCATTCGTCGAAAATAACAGAATGTAATTGATACTGACGAGATTTATGAATGATGGAGTCATCGTCCTCAGATAAAATGGCCGCTTATCCGAATGATTAGGCGCTATTTCCATGTAAGATCAGAGGGCTTCTTTGCGGAATATCTAAGATAAGTATGGCGTCTCCCTATTCCACAATGAATGCTTACAAGTTTCCGTGAAAAGCTAGGACACCACTTTAAACTCACTCATTAGAAAACACAATAACGTTAACGGACAACTCATGATGACGTCATAATGAACCTTGTATTGTATGTATAACTATGAGGTACGTATATCTGGAAGATCAGAATTGACAGTGAATCTGAGCCAACTCTTCTGCTCCATGTAGTTCAGACAAGGCTGAAAGATGAGGCCTGCTATAACGGCCGAGATGCTGATCACCAACACTTTGAAAGACGCGAGGCATAAAACTACAAAAAGGAGTAGTGTTGGAGGAATACACATCAAAATTGCGCCAGCTTTCCCAACAGGAACCTTGAAAGGCCGTGGTAGATGTGGATATTTCATCCTTAATTTCACAAATGCCATGAACTCCATGATCATGCCAAAGCAGTACAATAAGTTTTCAGCGGCAACTATCTCTTGGAAGCTCAACCACGAAAGCAAGAGCACGCCAGAAGCAGAGAACAAAATGCCCATAACGGGTGTCACATAACGAGACCTCTTTGCAAACAGGTCAGGAAGCATGCCTCTCTCCGCCATCCCCAGAAGTTGGAAGGAGTCGCTGCTCATCTCAGCCACGAACATTCCCATATTTGATAAAGCTGATGCTGTGTGAACCAATGATCTTAACCACACACCTCCGAGGATCCAGTCACTTGTGAGAAGTACCCATCAGACCAGAGCTTACGATCAACTGGAATCGCTCCTGTACCTGTCAGGAGAGGGAAGAAATACCCAAGCACAACTAGGATCAGGGCATAGAAAAGTGCTCTTGGGAGGGCTTTGCCCGGATCATTACTTCTCCCGAAAGGGTACTAATTGAGTCCCTGTAGTTTAGATTCCAGAAAAGAGTGTTCAAGTATAAACCGCAGTCCAAACGGTCCATGTCCACCATTGCCCATCTAGATGGTTTGAGTCTGGGAATTGCAATGAAGCCCATGACGAGGAAAGGAAGTAGGGAGAAGATTCCTAGCAGTATAGCTGCCCAACCCACTATGGTTAAACCCCTGTAGTTCATGTAAGTGAGAACTAGAGTTAGAGCAAGAATTGCTATTGATCTTGGAAATCCACCTGATAAAGCTGGGATAGATGACTTGAGGTAGTCTAAGAATAAGACTGGGTATAAGGCGTTATCGATGACCCCACTTAGCCATTTCATCCAGCCATCTTGGAAACCCCAATAAGGACCCAATGCAGAGGAAACCCAAACCACATAGCCTCCATTCTCGGGGAACATGGTACCCATTTCCGCAGTAATCAGTGCCCCTGGGATGCTCCATACGAATGGGAATATTAAGAAGCCAAGAAGAGCCAGAAGCGGACCAGCGGCCCTCACGCTGTCCTCTATTCCAAAGGGCCCTCCCGACACCTCGTAAAAGATGAAGAAAATCAGAGGTATGATGGCAAGTTTCTGAGACTTCTCTAGCTCCGGAGTGGAACCTCCCCTCAAAACTTCGTATTCTGCAACATTGGACTCCATCTCAGCTAACTTTTGCGTGGTTCTTATCTCAATTTCTGCAATGTAATGTCATGGTATAGCACGTTTGTATACTAATAATGGAGAATCCTCGTAGCAATGGCAATGAGAAGTACAAATTATGTGCCAACCTATTCCCCGTAGCAGAAAGAGCTCGATCTTGTATTGTAAAATGATGGCTAGATAAGAAGAACGGAACCCCAAGCTCAAAACTCAAGGCTAGTCGTCTCAGGAAAAACAAAGCACGACAAACATTGCAACTCGTTTAAGGGTTTATTCTTACTGCCCAAGTTGATAGGATAATAACTATTGTTAGGTTAATACTTGTAATTAAGTTATAACCAATTGTATTCAGTTAGCATTCTGTTACGCAGATAGGTGCTCTACTCATGTATATAAACAGATTCTCATTAATGAAATATTCAGGATATTGATTTCCATTTCGTCTAGCAACATGGTATCAGAGCCTAGCCTTTCCTGATCATTTTTTTCTCTCTCCTTCTCTTCTTGTCCTTTTCCTCTTTACTCTTTCTTCCTTCTTGTCGTCTTTTTTTTCCCCTCTTTCTCCTTCATTTGAGCACCCATGGCCGCCGAACCCACCATTGACCAAAGTAGCCCTTACTACATTCATCCAAGCGAGAACCCTGCCCTGATTCTAGTTGCACCACCGTTGGACGGTTCCAATTATCACAGTTGGTCACGAGCAATGCGTATGGCATTGCTCTCCAAGAACAAGATTAAGTTTGCTGATGGCACGATTCCTCCACCGTCGGTTAATGATCCAATGTTTCCGGCATGGGAGCGTTGTAATAACTTGGTCCAAGGATGGATCATCAAATCTTTGTCTCCAACGATAGCAAGGAGTATTCTGTGGTTCGATAGAGCTTCTGAGATTTGGTCCGATCTTCGTTCTCGATATTCTCAGTCAGATATCTTTCGAATTGCTGAGTTACAGGAGGAGATCTACAGTTTAAAACAAGGTAATTTGAGCGTTAGTGAATATTACACCAAGCTCAAAATTCTCTGGGACGAACTCTCTAATATCCGTCCCATCAAACCCTGTGATTGCGGATCCCTTGGTATTGAAGCAAAACATCGGCAGGAGGATTATGTTATTCGGTTTCTTAAAGGATTGAATGAGCAATTTTCCTCGGTTAAGTCTCAGCTAATGCTTATGGATCCTCTTCCGTCCCTCAATCGTGCTTTCTCCTTGGTTCTTCAATAAGAGCGTGAGTTTCTTGTTTCTTCTGAATCCAAGATATTGCTGACCAAAGGTTCGCGTCCTCCTGGTTATAACTCCTCTGGTTCGAAATCAAATAATGGTAAACATTGCACCTATTGTGGGAAGCCGCGCCATACTGAAGAAACATGCTACAGAAAGCATGGATTTCCACCAGGCTTCAAGTTTCGCTCGGGTTCCTCTGCCACTGTGAATAGTGTTTTAACACAAGATTCTGTTTCTGCTCAAGATATCAACACTGCTAAGCCTCTCTCTTCAAATCAACCTGCATCAACAGCATCAATTCTGCCTCAATTGTCTGCGGATCAATATCAGCGTCTTCTTACTCTTTTGAGTCCTTCTCAGTCCTCTTCCACTGCTTCCGTTAACCACTTATCAACTTCTGTCACAGGTAAATGTTATTCCATTTTTTCCTCAAATCATCCAACATGGATCATTGATTCTGGAGCGACTGATCATGTCTGCTCTTCCTTGAGTTTCTTTTCTTCTTATAGATCTATATCTCCTATTTCTGTAAGTCTTCCTACAGGTTCTTGTTCTGTCGCCTCTTACTCAGGGACAGTAATTCTTTCATCCAAATTAATCTTACATGATGTTCTTTATCTTCCAACTTTTACTTTCAATATCATCTCTGTATCTCATTTGACCAATTCCCTTAATTGTTTTTTAACTTTCTATTCTCATTCTTGTCAGATACACTTGCTCCAACCTTCACTGATGATTGGTACAGCTAAATCTTTCGAAGGGTTTTATTTCTTGACTGCAGATATGCTTCCTTCCTTTAGTAATTCCCAAATTCATGCTGCCACTAAATCTGTCTCTGACTTCACCCTTTGGCATCTTCGATTGGGTCACCTTTCAAATTCAACTCTTTTTGTTTTGCACAAGCAATTTCCCAATATTTCTTGTACCCCTCAGTCCATAGTTTGTGATACCTGTCATTTTGCTAAACAAAAACGCATTTCCTTTCCTGTAAGTTTGAGTTCCAGTAATAAAATTTTTGATTTGATGCATGTTGATATTTGGGGTCCCTTTTCAATTCCTTCCATTCAAGGTCATAAATATTTTCTGACAATTGTTGATGATCATTCACGATACACTTGGATCTTTCTGCTTAAACTAAAATCAGATGCTAGAACACAACTAAAAAATTTCTTTACTCTTGTTGAAACTCAGTTTTCCACTTCTGTTAAAGTTCTTCGTTCTGACAATGGGCCTGAATTTTCAATGCCTGCATTTTATGCTTCTAAAGGAATTTTACATCAAACATCTTGTGTTGAAACACCCCAACAGAATGGTATTGTAGAACGAAAGCACCAACGTATATTAAATGTTGCACGAGCTTTATTTTTCCAATATAATATACCTATTGTTTACTGGTCTTTTGTTGTTCTGCATGCCACATATATAATAAATAGGCTCCCTTCTCTTGTTATTCATAATTTCACACCTTTTGAAAAACTCTATAATGCTGAGCCATCTTTTACTGATTTTAAAGTCTTTGGTTCTTTATGCTTTGCATCCACCTTAACTAATCATAGATCCAAATTTGATCCAAGATCTCGAAAATGTATTTTTCTAGGTTTTCCTTTTGGTTCAAAAGCTTACATCTTATTAGACTTAGCTACAAATCAGATTTTTCTATCCAGAGATGTCCTTTTCCATGAAATGATTTTTCCTTTTAAAGATAACAGTGTTCAACCCTCTGCACCTACTATTCAAAATTTTCCTCAATTTTTAGATGACCCTATCTGTCCTCCTTTCTCTCCCTCACAATCATCATTATCTACTTCTACTGATTCACCATCCATTGACACGCCATCTTTCTCTACTACTGCCTCATCATCTGATTCTATTCTTCCCATTGATACTTCATCTCCCTCTACTAATGACTCCTCACTTCATCAAGCATCCCCTTCTACTGATTCCTCTCTTTCCCCTGTTATCCCACCTTCTCAGTCACTTAGACGTTCCACTCGAATCCATAATCCCCCATCATATCTGCAGGATTATCATTGTGCTCTTATTCATACTAACCAATCATCAAGTAAAGGTAATCCTAGGTATCCCCTTTGTTCTATTTTATCATATTCTTCTCTTTCTTCTGCCTACAAAAATTTTATTTTCACTGTCTCTACTATTCCTGATCCAAAGACTGATACTCAAGTTGTTAAACATTCAATTTGGAGAGATGCTATGAAAGCAGAAATCACAGCACTTGAGCAGAACAGTACTTGGGTTCTAACTCCTTTACCACTTGGCAAGAAACCCATTGGTTGCAAATGGGTCTATAAAACTAAATTCAGGGCAAATGGTGAGATTGAGAGGCATAAGGCCAGACTTGTAGCTAAAGGCTACACACAAACAGAGGGCATCGATTATTTTGAGACTTTTTCCCCAGTAGCAAAAAACTACACTACGGTTATTATTATCCATTGCAGCTGCTAAAAATTGGTTTTTATACCAGTTAGATGTCAACAATGCCTTCCTCCATGGTGATTTGAATGAAGAAGTGTATATGGAACTTCCCAAAGGTTTTACACCTCCTTCCCCTAATCTGGTCTGCAAATTACAGAAGTCTCTCTATGGATTAAAACAAGCAAGCCGACAATGGTATTCTAAATTGTCTCTTGCTTTGCTTTCTTATGGCTACAAACAATCTGCCTCTGATCATTCTTTATTTTTCAAAGCCAATTCTTCTTCTTTTACTGCCCTTTTGATATATGTTGATGATGTGGTGCTTACTGGCAATGACATGACTGAGATCAACCTTGTTAAACAACAACTAGATACGGCTTTCACAATTAAAGACCTTGGTGACCTTCGGTATTTTCTTGGGTTAGAGCTTGCTAGAACTAAACAAGGTATTTTTTTATCCCAACGAAAGTTTGCCCTAGAACTACTTGAAGACACTAGTTATTTGGCTTGTAAACCAGCATCCACTCCAATGGATCCTCATCTCAAGCTTTCTAAAGATAAGGGTCAACCACTTCCGGATCCACAGCTTTATAGGAAACTCATTGGGAGACTCCAATACCTCACTACCACTTGGCCTGATCTTAGTTTTGCAACTCAACAACTAAGTCAATTTATGTCCGATCCACGTGACATTCACTTACAGGCAGCCATCGTGTCTTGAGATATCTCAAATCCTCTCCTCCTGGTGCTGGTCTTTTCTTTTCTTCAACATCTGATTTGAAGTTAAGAAGCTTTAGTGACTCTGATTGGGCGAGTTGTGTAGACACAAGGCGTTCTGTTACTGGTTTTGCTGTGTTTATTGGTTCCTCTTTGATATCTTGGAAAGCAAAGAAACAATCAACAGTGTCTCGGTCCTCTTCTGAAGCTGAATATAGAGCTCTAGCTGCTACTACTTGTGAATTGCAATGACTCATATATCTTCTCAATGACTTTGATCTATCTCACATTGATCCAGCTCTACTGTACTGTGATAATCAATCTGCCATTCAGATTGCAACAAATCCAATTTTCCATGAAAGAACAAAACACATAGAACTGGATTGCCACTTAGTCAGAGAAAAGTTACAAGCTAAGATCATTCATCTTCTTCCTGTGAGCTCTTCAGACCAATTAGCAGATGTGTTTACAAAACCACTTCATCCTACAAGGTTTCATGATCTTATTTCCAAGCTGGGCATGAAAAATATCCATGCTCCAGCTTGCGGGGGTGATAGGATAATAACTATTGTTAGGTTAATACTTGTAATTAAGTTATAACCAATTGTATTCAGTTAGCATTCTGTTACGCAGATAGGTGCTCTACTCATGTATATAAACAGATTCTCATTAATGAAATATTCAGGATATTGATTTCCATTTCGTCTAGCAACACAAGTTTAGCAGAAGAGAGGTGCAGGTTATAAAAGGTCATAACGGAAGAAATGGAGAGGGAGAAACGGTTCTAAATGATGAGGTGTCAAAATGTCAACAAGTGATGGTCTGAGTAAGCCAACACGCGTCATCCTCTTTCCTCTTCACACTAATATTGAGAGTCCATTTTGCCAAACTTTTCAAAGCAACAGGTGTGAGTGACACCACAGACTTTTCTGTTCTGTTTTGTTCTTCGAACAGGTGACGAGTGACTACGATCAAGTCCATTATTTTGTTTTATTTTTTCAAATCAATTTGGGAAGATTGGCTCGAGTTGCATGAAAATAAATCTAAGAATGCAAAGTATAGTGAAAATGATTACGAAATGTTAAAGAAAAATTTTATGGTATATGTAAACTCACGAAGCGAGAGTATAAACCCTAATATATACTTCCTCCTCCTCTTATTTTAAATATAAAAACTACTCCTCCGATCCTTAATATAGGATCCAATTATTGAGTTGGTTTTAGTCCTAAATATAAGATCCATTTCTCATATTTGTCAATTTTCTCTAAATTATCCCCTATGGATACTCCCTCAACCATAATCAAGTAGAAGAGGAAGAAAAGGTATTAAGAAAGATGATTATGGTATTTTAGGAAAAACGTATCATATTTTTTATAATTAACTAACTTATTTAACTTCTTTAATCTAATCAAATTAGTTAAATAGGTCTTACATTAAGGACTGGAGGAGTAATTAAAGTTGTTAAATATAAGACTTCAATTTATTGTATCTCTCAAATTTATAATATATTCTTAAAAATATCCCTATTGATTATAAAGTATTTTCACCCAAATATAATTTCAATATACATGATTAAATAAACATAATTTAAAAAAATCAACACATATTTATTATAAATAACTAATAAATTTTATTAATCTTTTTAAATTAATTATTTAGCTTTTATATTAAAAAGCGAACTAGTTGTGTGTGTGTGTGTAAAAGCCGATTCAAGAACGGGGATCTTGTGATGTCGTTGTTGACCGCTTGCATGTGGAAACGGGAGATGTCCGTCTCAAGTCTCGACCCAGAACGTGGCATTGCATTTTTTTTTTTTTGGGTAAATGTGGCATTGCTTCTGAAGGTACATCGATTCTGATCTTAGCAGGGGACTACGTACAGGGCTGTGGTCAACATTTGCGTCGCCTCATGCGATGCTGCTGATCATCTCGCTAAGCAGGCCCAAAACAGATTGGTGATCTTCCCACTTGGATTTGGTAATTGCCTCTTCTTGTTTGGGCCAATGCATTAGGTAATTGTCCAGAAGCATAACAATTCCAAAATTTTGCAGGCCCTTTTATGTTGTTTTCAAGAAAATCCCAAAGGATTGGCACAGATGATCAGTGGAGCGGACTTGTATCCTACAAGAACGCAAGTTTGACTCCCTGTGCCGTACTTGGTAGGCGATCTAGTTAGTCTTTTATAAGTGCTTTTTGAGTCCTGGGGCCGTGCCTTGGCTTTGGTGGGATAACCGGTGTTGAACCCACCTAAACCTTTTGTTACCTAAAAAAAAAAAATCCAAACGCAGGCCACATGAAAAGAAGGGGAAGACCAAAGAAGTCCTCGAACTAGGTGAATTAAATTTGGATATTTCCAATTTTGACGGGTTTCAGCAATTTTTAACTGTTTCTTTCAAAGGTCAATTCAGCCTTTTATCTGAACTACACCAGTGATTGGTTTGTTGTTTTTGGATCTGACCAACTGGTCTAATATACTATGTCTCATGTTTAATGTCACTTCCATTTTCTACTAATTGAATAATTTAAATAGACTAAAAAAATTTGTTGAGTTAATTATTTATAATAATTATGTATTATCTTTTTTTAAAATACCCTTGCTAATCATGTATTAGCTAAAACATCCATTTGATTTAACATTTAACATGTACAACTATGAGAAGGACTACTTTAAAAAAATAGATAAATATGATAGAGAAAATAGATTGAAATTTTATATTTAAGATCAAATTAAAAATTGAATTAGCTCTTATAATAAATATTGGAGGTAATATAAAATTTATATAACTAATTTATAAATATTAAACAAATTATCGTTGACAAAAAAATTAAAAAATTGGTTAAATTAATTATTTATAATAAATAAATATATTTAGAACTATTTGTTCATAGAACCTTTAACACATTATTATCACAGGAACTGCTTCAAACTAAATAAATAAATATATGAGACAAAATAAATTTAAGTATTATATTTAAAATTAAATTAAATATTTAATTGGCTCTTATACTGAACAGGGAAGTAATATATATATATATATATATATATATATATATGAAACTTGGCTATGCCTCAGCAGGATTGCAAGGATATATAAAATTTAAAAGGGAAAAAAGTAACTGCATGCAAGTAGAGAAAAATAATAAATCTAAAGTACGTCTTTTGGTCTATAATTATTTCGTCCCCAAGCTAAATGCAAATCAAGTCATTTTGGACATCCAATGAGAATAATCAATTCATCTCTACCCCGAGCGAATTAAGGGATATCAAATTCATTTCACTCAATCTAGCTTTCAATTTGTTTGGCCTTTGTTGTGAAATAGCTTTCATTTAATTTTATATAGAGTGAGAATAAATAAATACTCCCTCTGGCTCAAATTATAGGAGCCCTTCTAGAATAAAATTTTGATCTTTCTTATAAGAACCTTTGATAGTTTCAAATGAGTATGAAAGGCTTATATATACGTAGATATTTAATGAGAGTAGTGAGAATATAATAATATAATATAAATAATATATTTAGAGTTTAGTATAATTAATGAAAATAATATTGGAAGTCACTTAAATTTTATGCTAAACTTAATATTTTGAATTACTCCTCAGTTTTATTTATAAGTAACTTCCAACATGTTTCACACAGACTAAACCAAATATTAAATTTTATTAACTCTCATTTAAAATTTAAGAACTTTTTAACTTTATCTCTATTTAATATATATTATACCTCACAAAAATAAAGTCAACACAATAATAAATGAATGGTAAAATTGTACATTCATTAAAAAATTTCCTTCTTTGCCCTATAAATAGGACCAGAGAAGTAATTTTATTAGCACATGCTCTTCTGGTCCTTAATATAAGACTTAATTAATTAAGTTGAGAGATTAGGGATGTTAATTGAATTAGCTAATATGATTTTTTTTTTAAAATGTATTTATCATCTTTCTTAGTTTCCTCCTACTTGATATTATTGAAGAAATATTAATAGAATTAATTTAAAAAAAAATTGATAAATATACAAAATAAATTTTATATATAAGATTAATATCAATTCTCAAACTGGATGATATATTGGTTAGCGGCAAGAAGAGTACATATTAGTTGGTGGCTTTTTATAATAAGAATTAGAAGAAGTATATTGCGTGGTCCCCAATGCCCTTTTTGGGAGCAACACCTTTGGAATTTTTTAATATGCCCTTCGAGTGTTACGCTGCACCCCCCCCCCCTTTTTTCCTTCCCTATTTTGTTTTAAATAATATTTTTCCTTGCGTCCTTACCTCCATGGCTCCGCCACCTCCCAACAAAACTAAGGTCATAAAATTGTGCACAGCACAAAACCTCAGGAAGCTTCTTTCGTCTGTACGTTTCCATTGCCTTCCTTTTCCTTGTCCGTCTGGAAACTGCAACTATCACCTCAGTCACCAAATAATTAATCATTTTACACCCATTTCCAATTGAAGGGGGAAGATTTTACAATTATTCTTCTTACATATTAATATTTGTATTTTTAAGTGAAAAAAGTGCTCTATTATTTTCATATTCAAAACTATTTCCCACCATTTTAATTTTTGTGCTCCTCAAGAAATCATGAACGGATATCAGATTTAAAGTTAAGGAAAATTGATATGATGTAGGGCGCAAACAAATTGTAGCTGCTGCATATAGTTAATCCAAGGTTCTATGCGACGAAGGGCACTAGGTACTAACTGGTATGGCTACTAATTATAAAGCTCGTCTCAAGTGTATTTTTGGTCCATAACATGCATCATGTAGTTGGAAGATGTTATAATTAGGATATAAATAAGGAATTCTTTTTTTCAAAAAAATTAAAAATCAGGTAAACTAAATTTCAAGATGTCTTTAAAATGAAAACAAAAGTGTCCCAATTCAAAAGGCACATTTCATACTTTTATGGTATATGTGTCAAATTTTGGCACCTTAACTATCCAAATGATATAAAAATATATATGTTATGATAACATCCAATATACTACCTTCGGTCTTTAATATAAGATCTCATTTATTTTTATTTTGGTCCTAAATATAAAACTCTAATTATTTTATTTCTCATATGTAATCATTTGCTCTTAAAGTAATCCTTCTAATAATGATAATTTTAACCAATACACTTGATTAGCAAAGATATTTTAGAAAATGCAATATCTATTTATAACAAATAACTAACTTAAATTATTTTTTTAATCTACTTAAATTAGTCTATTAGCTCTTATATTTAGGATGAGATGTGGTAATTTTTAAGGTGCTTTTGTTTTCTAAGTTAAATATTATTTATTATATAAGTGCACCATAGTAGACACGTGTGAGGATGTGAACAAATTTGAGGATGAGCAGTTCAGCACCAGAATTATCCGATTCCAGCGTGAAGGAAGCATCCTCCTTTGACTTGGCAACCAATTGCTGTCCAAACTATGCTTCTCGTTCACTCCACAGGCCTCATGCATCCATACTTTATATGAGGAATTATATTTTCAGATTAAAATATGATTAAAGTTAATTAAAAAAATTTTAGGCATTGTAATCATTTTAGAATCATGTTTTAAAACTTACTCTAGGCTATAATTTTCATTAAGTTTGATGGTAAGTTTTTTCAATTAAACTCTGAGTAATCATAATTATTTTTTAAAATAATTAATGATTAGCTTTTTGTGGCAAAATTATTAGTTTAGTAAATTGAAGAGTTTGATAGAACCTGAAGGCGTCATTGAAAGATTGGCCAAAAAAAAGAAAAAAAAAAGAGAAGAAGGCGTCATTGAAAGGAAGAGCAACTTAGAAGCAAAGTATATATATTGGTTGGTTCATTTGCTTTGCAGTTGGAAGCTTTTGGGGATAACATCCTGAAAAAAGACAAATGCAATGGAATCTTAGCTTATTCTGTCACTCTCAGGACAAAAGGACTCAAATGTTAAAAAAAGCACAAAGAAGAGAGACGCATGCAATAACTGATAAATGCGTCCATTATTTGAGTAATATATAAGACCGAGGCGCCCTACCATATAATAAGTCATCGGGTTAGATTTTAGTGGAAATTAAAGTGAATGGCGATGGAGAGCATCATCAAGGAGTTGAGGCATCTGCTTGTGACGGTGTTCCTCACCGGCCTTGCCAGTTTCATAGTCGTTCCGGCAATCACCGACGTCACCATCGCCGCCCTCTGCCCTTCCCAACCTCAGTGCTCTCTCGCCATTTTCCTCTCCGGCTTCCAGCAAGCCGTAAGTCTCTCTCTCTCTCTCTCTCTCTCTCTCTCTTCTGTGTACATCAATCAACCAGCTCTCATCATGACTCCTTCCTCTTCTCTTTCTCCGCTCTGTAGCCAGTTAAAACCTATATCTTCCATGGCTCTTCTCTCTGCATTATCAGTCCAGCTTAATACAACACACTTCCTGATGGTAATCAATTCATGCATGTTGGAGAGTTATAATTATATAATACAGCATATATATCGTTGAAGGATTATATATCAAGAATGAAGCTGATTTTTTGAGGGAAGGTGAAGACATAGCATGGCGTGGTTGACTGTTCAGTCTGGAAATGGATATACCAAACCTAAACGTCAAAACCTAACAGATTTTCTTCCTCAACCACGCGCGTGTTTCCCACTTTCCTGTACGTTGCCATCGTCTTGTTCCTCTCAGTGATCCTCTCACTCCTTTTTACAAGAAATTCAATCAACTGCGCAAGCCTCTTCACTCAATTACCACTGTTTACGACATGCCCTTTTCATTGCTTTAGTTAGATGACATTAGTCCTGCTTCCACATTGAGCATAAATTACGGGCTAGCCACCTCATTTATTAGTATGTGACATTTTGATGTTGATGAAAGTGCGTTGCCTTATTTTCCTTGTTTTTTTTTTTTTATGTCTTTTCAGGTTTCACTCCTTGACTAAGAAATATAACTAACATGCATAGCAGATATTTTTACTTTTTTTGTTTTTTGACCAGCTTTTACTTTCTTTTTTTGTTTTTTAAGTTCCTGATATGTCCTCGTTTCATTTTAATAATTAATGTATTGCCTCTTTTTAATATATAAAACGAGGAGAACGTAGCTAAGATTATTTTGGACTTTGAGAAAGAACACGATGAAAAATAAAAAATATTCTCTATAGATTTTGCCACCGTGCATTTTGTGGCTTGTAGCGCTTAACTGACGTCTATGATAAATTAAATGTGGGCGCAGGCGACGGGAGTAGGAGCAGTGGTGATGACTCCGTTAGTGGGAAATTTATCGGACCAGTATGGGAGGAAAGCCTTGCTTACACTTCCTCTAACGGTGTCAATCATTCCTCTAGGTGATTCAACTAAATCTTATGTTTCATATTCCTATTAAATATGCTCAATAGTGATTATGGCATTCACAGACTCGTAATTTATATCATTATTTTCCTATAGAAATTATTAAAATCCCTCTTAAAAGTTAAAATATTTCGAAAGATCTCATTTTATAATTTTCAGTTCTACATGTCATTAAAATATTGTAGTTCCGCTGTTACGGAGGTTTATACATGGCGCAGTGCATCATGCCCTCAAATACAGAAAGAGTGGGCCCACATTTATGAAAGCCTTGGAAGACTAATCCAATTGCGTCGTTTCCAATAAATTGATAACCGAATGAAAGGGCCGAACGAATTTCAATTTCAGCATTTGTTGTTGCTGCCTATACTTTTCCCTTCTGCCTTATTGCTTGCTGCTACCCACAGTGAAGTCATTTGGATGTCTCTTTTATACTTACACGGCAAGACTTTCCCATTCCCTTGTCTTGCCGGTCAAGCCAAAGAAAAACAGATGACAAAAGAATCCAATTATTGATTGATTATTCATCCCAATTTAATTTTACCAAAATTAAGTTTTTTTTTTTAAATAAAAAAGAAGCTGCGCTCCAATTTTAATTCAGTCTGAATACTAATTTATAGCAACTTGCACTATTTTAAAATGTAATTGGAGGTTTAATGAATGGGATATACTAAGAGTAATAGTGTCACATATATTTGGCAGTGATATTGGCGTGCAGCAGGGCCACCAGCTACTTCTACGCATACTATGCGGTCAAAACTGTAGCTGCCATGGTTGGCGAAGGCAGCGTCAACTGCCTCACTCTTGCTTATGTGGTTCGTATTTCCTAAATCTTATAATGCCATGCGACCGAATATGATTATGAATGAAGGAACAGAGGTGGTCTTCTAATTAACCCCATCAAATGAAACGAATTAACAGAACCCAAAGACGCGGAACACTCAGAACTGCGGCACTTGGTGCTTTTCGGAGATGGTCAGATTGTGTTTTAATCTCTGATGTTATTATTAATTGATTAGGCAGACAAGATTGAAGAGCACAAAAGGACATCTGCATTCGGAATTATTGGTGGTGTAGCCTCGGCAGCCTTCGTCTGTGGAACCTTAGCTGCACGTTTTCTTTCCACTGCTCTAACGTTTCAGGTTTTATAGTCTCAATAGATTTTTGAATGCCACATTGTTCTGGCTGCTATTCCTGTCTTTGATCGGTTTTAATGGTTCAGGTTTCTGCGGTCCTATCGATGATTGCAGTGGTGTACATGAGAATTTTCCTGCCGGAAAGTGTACCTGTTCGTGCTAGTGGTCTGAGACAGCCAATGTTGGACGAAAGCGAGGAGGCACATGTGAAGGAAGAGCGCGAGATCACTGATTCGGCACAAAGAACAAGCGGAATATTCAAGAGACTTCCCTCAGTAAGGAATGCGATTTGCTTGCTCAAGCGTAGGTACGTTACGTGAGGCGGTTTGGTGAGAACACACATTCACTGGGGAAGTGATAAGGACATCATTTTTCTGTGTTTTGTTAATACAAACAACTCTGTTTTGCAGTCCCACATTTTCCCAAGCGGCTCTAGTTATGTTCTTCAATAGCCTTGCAGATGGAGGGCTGCAGACGGCGATTCTGGTAAACTGTTAAATGCGTTTCTTACTTTGCCGAAGATCTACATATTCATATATAGTCAATTTAAGAGTTTGGATTTGACTTAATGCAGAAGATAGTTCAAACTGATGAAGTCTATGAATGTTATATGAGATCATAAGTAGGGGAAAATAGACTAAACAAAGACCAAATGCAGCATGTTGTACTTCATGTAACGTTTTCCACTGCAACTGCAGTACTACTTAAAGGCTCGCTTCCAGTTCAATAAGACCCAATTTGCTGATTTGATGCTAATTGGTGGCATTGGAGCAACTCTTACACAAGTACTCCCAACCCCTCCCACATTGTCTTGTTCCACGGTTTATACCTAATAATATCATGAGGGAATATATTCTAGTGACCATTTTCAATTGCTCTGTTTGGTAACGGTTTGCATATTGCTTCAGCTGCTTCTCATGCCCATAATAGTGCCTGCTCTAGGAGAGGAGAAACTGCTTACAGCAGGGCTGTTGGTCGGCTGCATAAACGTATGCTCCGACCTCTCTTTTCTCCGAAATTTCATTTAAAGCAATGCTAGTTAATACTACTTCCGGTCCTAATTATAAGAGCCAGTTGACTAATTTGATGAGATTAAGGAAGTAAGTTGAGTTAGTTATTTGTCCTAGATAGGTGTTGTCTTTTCTAAAATATCCTTACTAATCAAGTGTATTGACTAAGACTACTATTATTAAAAGGGTTACTTTGAAAAAAAATGTATAAATATGAGAGACAAAGTGGATTGGGGTCTTATATTTAGGATCAAAATAAAAGTCAAACAGGGTTTTATATTAAGGACCGGAGGTAGTATATCTTATGATCTGTCACATAAACAAAAAGAATAGTTTACTGAGTGTTCACGACATATGGTACTATGCAGATCTTGGTTTACAGCGTATCGTGGTCACCATGGGTAATATTTCTTCAAACACTTCAGTATTTGCCAATATCCACTCGAAAGAATCTTTCAAGAAAGTTATAAACTTTGCAGGTTCCTTATGCCATAGCAATGTGCTCTGCTTTTGGAGTTGTTGTTCGCCCAAGTGTAAGTATCTCAACTTGAATTTGGCCTCACCCCATGGAAAATGGTTTGTTTTAATACATACGGTTTAGTCCTACGAGTTAGCACTGATCAGTGGTATCTCGCACTGAACAGATATGTAGCATTGCATCCAAACAAGTTGGGCCCAGGGAACAGGTACGGCTTTTCACACGTCTTATTTAGGTTTTGTTCAGATATGAATATCTTTGGAATCAGAAAATGACCAGCCACCGGCCACATTGATACAGGGAATGGTTCAAGGATCTCTTTCAGGAATTAGTTCCTTCGCCAACATCATTTCTCCATTAATTTTCAGTCCACTGACAGGTACGAGGTGCTCAATGTAGGACATACCTGGTTCTTGAAACAGGTAGCAGAAAGTCAGAAACTGATAACTTTGCGTATGTATGCAGCCTTGTTCCTGTCGGAAAAAGCACCATTTGATTTTCCTGGCTTTAGTATAATGTGCGCTGCTCTGGCAATGGTAAGACCATCAAACCATCCGAAGATTCCCCAATCCTGATGAGAACTATCTCCTACGGTCATTTAAAATGAAACTAGGATCCAAGACATATATCTAATGATCAGGATTTTTTTTTAAACTATAGGTACCGTTTGGTATAAAGTATTGAAAATGAGGGATAGAGATTGAAATTGTAATTGAGAAAAATCATTAAAATAGTACTACCTCCGGTCCTTAATATAAGACCCTGTTTGACTTTTATTTTGGTTCTAAATATAAAACCCCAATCCACTTTGTCTCTCGTATTTATACATTTTTTCCAAAGTAACCCTTCTAATAATGATAGTTCTAATCAATACACTTGATTAGTAAGGATATTTTAGGAAAGACAATATCTATTTAGGACAAATAACTAATTCAACTTACTTCATTAATCTCCTCAAATTAGTCAACTGGCTTTTATAATTAGCACCGGAGGTAGTATTTAGTATGAGTAGTTCCTTATTACATGAGATTAGGCGAACTCATAGAGGTGGGATTGGAGAATACTCCTTTTCCCCATGGTATTCGCCAATTCCACATACATGGGTTTGACTAATCCTATATAACAAACAATTTCATATGCTAAATATTTTTTTAATAGATTTTCTTAATCCCAATCTCAATTCCTAATTTTTAATACTTATTACCAAATGAAACCATAGGTCTACAGAAGTAGCATTAGATTTTGTGAGGACTAATAAGAGTCGAGTCTAATAAAACCAATAGTTCATCGGATTTTCTTGGTTTTGTAACTAACATAATAAAACTACACGTGGGATTGCAGATAATTGCTTTCATACAGAGTATAATGATCCGAGTTGACCCATCTGATGTCGGCGGTAAAGGCTGCGCGGATCCCTTAGTCTGAGAAGGGGATGAGTTTTGGATGCAAGGTAGAGGCCTTCCGTGCTTCATGTTGCGCTACACCAAAATGCTTGTTCAAGGATAATCTACCAACTATGAGATCTTTTTTTTTTTTGGTCCTGTATATAACATTATAATTTGAAATATGTAATTTGTATCACAGTGTGTTTTGATATTTTGTAACAATGCAATGGGCATGCAATTTATGTTTGGTAGCAAGTTCTTTTGTTTTTTCTTTCTAATGAAAACTGCCATCAATTAACCCAAGAGAAAGAGTGCGACAAAATAAAATTAAAAAAAAAAAAGAAACGTCTACGATCCCCTAGCTGCCCTTTACTTTTGAGGCTCTTTTCAGATTTTTTTAACCTTCTTTTTTATCATTAAAATCTAAATAAAATGATTGACATTTTGATATCTTATCTATAAAAAATGATTTAGTTTTCAAATTTTTATGATTTTTTCAAAAATTTAATACTCTAAGTTAAAAAGAAATTGAACCATTTAGAGTAAAAAGTCTTTAAAAAAGATCATTAAAAAATTGAAAACTAGACCAATTTTTGCAAATAAGATGTCAAAACGCCACTTATTTTATATAGAACCTCATGATGAAAAGAAGCTAAAAAAATAAAAACATTTGAGAAGAGTTCCAAACTTAAGGGGGAACAGCTGACACTCAGCTCGAGTTGCGGCTCTGGAGCACAAAGAATAACATGGACGTTGTCACTGAAGCCATAGAAGTTAATAGAAAAGGGGTTGTAAAGGAAGAGAACTGCAAAGAAAAGCAGGGTGGGAAGAAGCGAAAACAGTTGAACCGTCAGACACTTTCTCGTACTCAGTAAAGCAGAGGAAATATTTCACCGTTTTTATTGTACATCATACAGTTCATGATCACATGGTTTAATCTATCAGCCACTAAACATATGAGACAAATTAGCCTCAGGCCTCCGGCAGAAGAAAGTTGAGACATCATCAGCAATATCAAAGTGGTACAACACATTTGAATATTAATAATGAAGAATCTTTATAGCAGCGGCAATGAGAAGTACGAGTACAGAAAGAGAGCTCGATCTTGTATTGTAAATTGATGGCTAGATAAAAAGAACATTCGTCTCCGGAAAAACGAGGCATAAGGATCATTGCAATTTATAAAAGTCCCGTTTGAAATAAAGTATCGAGAATAAGAGGTAAGGATTATAATTGGGATTAAAAAAATCAATTAAAAAATATTTAATATAAAAAATTACTTGTTATTTAGGATCAGATGAAGTGATAATATTTTTCATCACTTTGAGAGGCACATATATATATTTAAATATGTGCGCATGCCCATGTGTGCATAACTTTGCTGTGCAAGTCCAGGCAGGATTGCAAGGGCACATGCATAAAACTTAAAAAAAAAAAAAAAACACTGATGGCATGCAAATAGAGAAAAATAGTAAATGTAAAGTAACTTTTTTGGTACATAATGTTTCATCCACAAGCTACATGCGACAAGTTTATGCAGAGAAATATAATAAATGCAAATCAAGTCATCTTGGACATCCAATGAGAATAAATAATTCGTCTGCCACACTCCAATTTATAGCCTTGTTTAAGAGGTACCCAATTGATTTCATTCAATCTAACCTCCATTTGTTTTAGCCTTCGGTGGTGCTGCAAATTGAAATACTACCTCCGGTTCTAGTTATAAGAGCCAGTTAACTAATTTGAGGAGATTAAAAAAGTAAGTTGAGTTAGTTATTTGTCTTAAATATGTATTGTTTTTCCTAAAATATCCTTATTAATTAAGTGTATTGATTAAACTATCATTATTAGAGGCTACTTTAGAAAAAAAATGTAATAAATATAAGAGACAAAGTAGATTGAGATCTTATATTTAGGATCAAAATAAAAATCAAATAGGGTTTCATATTAAAGAACGGAGGTAGTAGCTTTCATTTAATTTTATATACATGGTGAGAATAAATAAAGATATATCGTAGAGTCTTTTTTCATTCCTGCGTGCAACACCTTTAGAATTTTTTAAGGGAAAATGGCAATTCAGTCCCATCAAAGGAATTAAATATAAAAAAGTCCCTTGAAAAAAATATAATAAATGCAAATCAAGTCATCTTGGACATCCAATGAGAATAAATAATTCGTCTGCCACACTCCAATTTATAGCCTTGTTTAAGAGGTACCCAATCTGCCACACTCCAATTTATAGCCTTGTTTAAGAGGTACCCAATTGATTTCATTCAATCTAACCTCCATTTGTTTTAGCCTTCGGTGGTGCTGCAAATTGAAATACTACCTCCGATTCTAGTTATAAGAGCCAGTTGACTAATTTGAGGAGATTAAAGAAGTAAGTTGAGTTAGTTATTTGTCTTAAATATGTATTGTTTTTCCTAAAATATCCTTATTAATTAAGTGTATTGATTAGAACTATCATTATTAGAGGAGCTACTTTAGAAAAAAAAAAAAAGTATAAATATGAGAGACAAAGTAGATTGGGATCTTATATTTAGGATCAAAATAAAAATCAAATAGGGTATCATATTAAAGAACGGAGATAGTAGCTTTCATTTAATTTTATATACATGGTGAGAATAAATAAAGATATATCGTAGAGTCTTTTTTCATTCCTGCGTGCAACACCTTTAGAATTTTTTAAGGGAAAATGGCAATTAGATCCCATTCAAAGGAATTAAATATAAAAAAGTCTCTTGAAATCATAAAATTATTTTAAAGTCCCAAAAAAATTTTTGTATTAAATTTTATTTGTTTACTTACCAAATTACCCTTTTTTTTTTTTTAAAAGTTTGTATTGACAACTGAAAGAGCAGTGATTAATAACTGAAAGTGCAAGGATTGACAACTATCGCGGTTGCTTTGACAACTTATAGTGTGATATGCTGAGAAAATGTGTTGTCAAACCAGCCGCGATAGTTGTCAATTCTTGCACTCTGAGTTGTCAACCACTGCTCTTTCAGTTATCAATACAAAGTTTTAAAAAGAAGAAGGGTAATTTGGTAATTAAACAAATAAAATTTATTGCAAAAAGATCCCTTGGGACTTTAGAATAATTTCATGATTTTAAGAGATCTTTTTGCATTTAATTCCTTTAAGTGGGACCTAATTACAATTCTCCCATTTTTTAATATATACCCTTGTAGTATTATGCTGCACGCGATGTGCCTCGCTTGTTTTTCTATTTTAATTAAAGAATTAATAATAAAGTATTTTTGTTTTGTACATACGACATATCGATTCCACGCGTCACTATTACAACCGCCATCTCTCAACAAAAGCAACCTCATGAAAATCGGCACAAGACAAAACCTCAGGAAGCCTCTTTCGTCTTTACATTCTCCGTTACGCTCTCCTTTTTTCTTGTTCATCTGGAAACTGCAGCTATCCCATCACTCAACATAATTTATCACTTTCCTCCCCTTTCAAATTGAAGGGGGAATATTTTACAGTTATTCGTTTTAGTGCATATTATTATTTTTCACACCTTTTGCTTTTTTGTGACAATAAAAGAAGTATTACTTTCATTTTTAAATACAAGAGTTAGTTAAAAATTTAATTTATTCATAAATATTATATATCATAATCTATTTTGTCTTTTATAGTTTTTTTAGTAATTAATCCATGGTTTATGTTTGTATATGTTAAATAGTTTTTATTCTAATACACATGATCAATAATAATATTTTAAAAAAAATAACACTCATTTATTATAAATAATTAATTTAACTATTTTTTATGTGTCCTATGTGACAAACAAATTGTAACTGCTTTTTACATGTAATGAATCCAAGCTTATATGACGAAGGGCATCATTAAATAGAGATATTACGAAAGAATTCATGAAATACGAACTAACAAGCGATTAACATGTTGACCCTGAAAATGCTGCTGGGGTAATGTATGAGAGATGAGCATCCCAAATTGGTATGCGTACAATTTATGTCTGAAGTATCTGTTTTACACACACACACACAGAGTCTAAAGTATTTTGGCCAAAAGTATGAAACATTTTATACTTAGGATAGGGATTTTTTTTTAAATTAAAAAAAAACTTAGGTAAACTAAATTTCTAAAGAGGTAATTAAGATCGAAAGTTCAAAACAAGCTTCGCAATTCCATAACTTTATCGGATGTGTGTCAAATCTTCATTAACATGTGTACGTTTTTTTCTGAACTATATATCCAAATGATGATGTACAGTACAAATAATCCAATATAATTTTAAAAAAATTTTAGTTCTCAGAGTTAATATTATTTATTGCATAAATGAAGTTGCAAGACTAATATTATTTTATATTTGGCAAAAAAAATATTTTATATTTGATTTCATCTAAATAAGAAATCATTAGAAATCTAATTAAAAAACAAAAGCCGGTCTCGAGCATCTAGGCTAATTAAGTGGACCATGGTGCATAAATGAACAAATTTGAGGACGAGCATCAAAATTCTAAGAGGTTGCTAAGATCAAAAGTTCAAACCAACCAATCGCCGTCCATAATATGCTTCTAGTTCACGCCAGAGTCCCCATTTTTATTTTACGAGGAATTATATTCACAGATTTAATTGTGATAAAAATTAGTTTAAAAATATTAGACATTAATTGTAATTATTTTTATAATCATGTTTTGAAAATTAATTTTTATGGAATTCGATTGCAAGTTTTTCAAAATTATATGTAATAATCTTTAAAATTGGTATACTGATTTTTTTTTTTACATTAAAGTAGTGATTTTTAGTTTTGAAAATAATAAATTATTGTTAAAAGCTTTGTGACAAAATTAGTTTAGTGAATTGAAGAGTTTGAATAGGATTTTTGGAGGCCAAGATGTCATCGAAAGGAAAAGCAACTTTCTTTATAAAATTAGAAGAGCAAATACTAGTCTCATATTACAAAGAAGATCAAAACCGTGTCCTTTAAGAGTTTTCATGTTACTATGCTACAAAACCATTAAAACGAAAGATCTGGCAACTTAGAAGCAAGGTGTTGTTGGTCCGTCTGCATGTATAGTTTAGTTTGAAGCGTTTTATAATATATATGCTGGAAAAAGACGCATGGAATTGAGTCTTATTTCTTCTGTGTCTCATTCGCTCTTACGCAAAAATAATGGACTAATAATGTCAAATTAAAAAAGCAAAAGGAAGGGGCCAGCTAGGCATGCAATACTTGATAAATACTATCTCCGAATCCTTAATATAAAAGCTAGTTGATTAATTTGATATTAAAAAAATTAGTTAAGTTAGTTATTTGTAATAAATAGGTATTGTTTTTCCTAAAGTATCTTAGCTGATTAAATATATTGGCCAGAACTATCATTATTATAAGGATTATCTTGAAAAAAATAAATAAATATAAAAAACAAAGTAGATTGGGGTCTTATATTTAAAACCAAAATAAAAGTCAAACAAGCTCTTATATTTAGGACCAGAGGTAGTACACACATTATCTGAGTAATACTCTTCCAGTCTTTAATGTAATACTTAATTAACTAATTTGAATTAGATTAAAGATGTTAGTTAAATTAGCTAATATAATCTTCTTTAATTTCTCATTCTCTCTCCTATTTGATTATTGTTGAGGGAATATTAATAAATTAATAAACATATGAACTAGTCTCATATATAGGGTAAATATAAACTCTCAAATTATGTCCTGTATTAAGTATAGAGAGGAGTACCATATATATATATATATATATATATATATATTTATATTTATAGAAGAGCAAGCTAAGACCTAGCAGCAATAATGGGGATGGAGAGCTTAAAGGAGCTGAGGCATCTGTTAGTGACGGTGTTCCTCACTGGGCTTTCCGGTTTCATAGTCACTCCGTCAATCACCGACGTCACCATGGCCGCCGTCTGCCCTTCTCGACCTCACTGCTCTCTCGCCATTTTCCTCTCCGCCTTCCAGCAAGCCGTAAGTCTCTCCTCTGTATGTGCACATTAATTAACCTCCTCTCTGTCCCTAATTAAAACCTGTCTTTCATTACTATTCTCTCTGGCCTCTGCATCAGTAATCCATCTTAATACAAGACACTTAATGACTAATTAATGCTAATGTTGGAGAATTATAAACATAATACAGCATATATTTCGTTGAGCGATTATTTATTAAGAACGAAAGCTGCAGTAACGAAGAAGCGGATTTTTTGAGGGAAGATGATGAAGATAGACGTGCGTGGTTAACTGTTCAGTTTGGAAATGATGTCCGATCCGATGGCGAAGAAACTTTAAAACCTAACAGATATTCTTCCTCAACCATATACATCTACACGCACGTTAATTTCCATCGTCTTGGTCCTCTCTATCTCATCAGTTTTACAAGAAATTCAATACTGCATGCGCATGCCTCTTAACCCCACTTTTTACTGCAAACCGGCGGACCATACAGTTCATTAGGCTTTGATTCATTTACTGTTTCCATTGACCACAAATTTTCCGGCCAGCAACCTCATTTATTAATATTATGTGACGTTTGGATGTTAATGAAAGCATCATCATCATGAAAAATATGCATACTACCTTTCTTTTTCCCTTTTTACGTCTTTTATGTAAGGTTTCACTCATTCACTAACAATTATAATATCAGATTTATCTTTTTTAAATTTTGTGATATGTCCTCATTTCATTTTAGTAATTAATATTGTCTCTTTTGTGTATGACATAACTATGAGCAAATAAGGTTATTTTGAACTAGCTGGCTAGAATACATGTGAAAAATAGTATATTATACCTTAAAAAAAAAACTTATTCTGTATAGATTTTGTCATCACCATGCATTTTGTAGAGCTTATAATTGACGTCTTTGATCCATGTAATATATGTGTTTATATATTTTGGCCCAAAAAAATCGAATATTAGTGAACATAGTAAACGTGGGCGCAGGTGACGTACGGGAGTTGGAGCAGTGGTGATGACTCCGTTAATAGGAAATTTATCGGACCAGTATGGGAGGAAAGCCTTGCTCACACTTCCACTAACGGCGTTAATCATTCCTCGAGGTGATTCTTTCTTTGCAATATATTTCCCCCCTTTTGTACCGCGTAATAATAAATTATACTCTATCATGTATGATAAATAAATTTCATGAATAGTATGTCTCAATCCATATTAAACATGCTCAGTGGTGGCATTCAAAAACTCGTAATCTATATCAATATTTCTCAAAAAAAAATTATTGAAATCCCTCCACATCCAAATCCAATTGTACATAGGACCACTCTCTTTGATCCAAGTATTTATAAGAACCAGAAAGTTTCCAAGTTCACTTGGTTGGCTGCGATTATTGTTTTAAAAAAATGGTATGAAAGACGCATGCTAAAAAATGGAAAGGAATTTTTGTCCCCAACTCTATTCTTTTGAGTAGGATGGTATCGCTAACTCAGGGTATCCCAACTTATCAGCCAGACTAATCCCAGGGTGCCTCGCGCAGGTATCGAGCCCATGACGTGGTAGGGAAGGCGCCTTGCATTCCCGTTTGCGACCAGTCGGACCCGACCTTTGCAGGCTCCCCAACTCTATTCTGATTCTTGAATAACATGACTTATTATAATTTTTATTTTATGTGCTAATTTATAGCAACTTCTTTTGGACCATGATGTAATATAAAAGCTAGTTTAACATTCAAGTTAGTTCTAAATATAAAACTCTAATTTACTTTCGTTTTTTATATATATATATTTTTTCAAGAGAGTTCTTGTTGTAGGTATGTATATTAAAGGTTTTATTAAATAATAATTCTAATCAATACATGTGATTAGTAAAAGTATTTTAAGGAAGAAAACACATATTTATTACAAATAACTAAATTAACTAATTTTTTTAATCTACTCAAATTAGTCAACTAACTCTTATACTACCTCCAATCCTTAATATAAGACCTCGTTTGACTTTTTATTTTGGTTCTAATTATAAGATCCTAATCCACTTTGTCTCTCATATTTATACTTTTTTTCCCAAGGTAGTCCCTCTAATAATGGTAGTTCTAGCCAATAAACTTGATTAATAAAGATATTTTAGGAAAAATAACACCTATGTATTACAAATAACTAACTTAACTAATTTTCTTAATCTCTTCAGATTAATCAACTAGCTCGTATAATTAGAACCTGAGGTAGTATTAAAGACTGGTGGTAGTTCAAGAAAATATGTAAAGTTAAAAATGTAGTTGGAGGCTGATGAACTAATGGGATATAGACAATTAGACATATAGTAAAAGTAACGTCATCTGTATTTGGCAGTGATATTGGCATGTAGCAGGGCCACCAAGTTCTTCTACGCATACTATGCTGTCAGAACTGTGGCTGCCATGGTTGGCGAAGGGAGCGTCCACTGCCTCACTCTTGCTTACGTGGTACGTGCGTCCTAAATCCTATAATGACATGCAACCAAATATGATTATGAAGGAAGCTAGTCTTTTGCCCCATCAAATGAAACCAATAAACACAACCCAAAGACGCGGAACACTCAGGACTGTACTTGTGCTTTTCGGAGATGTTTAGATTGTGTTTTAACCTATGATTTTATTATTAATTAATTAGGCAGACAAGGTTGAAGAGGGCAAAAGGGCATCCGCATTCGGAATTATCGGTGGTGTAGGCTCAGTAGCATTCGTCTGTGGAACCTTAGCTGCACGTTTCCTTTCCACTGCTTTAACATTTCAGGTTTTCTAGTCTCAATAGATTTATGAATTCCACATTGTTCTGGCTGCTGTTCCTATGTTTGATCGGCTTAACTATTCAGGTTTCTGCGTTCCTATCGATGATTGCAGTGTTGTACATGAGAATTTTTCTCCAGGAAAGTGTACCTGTAAGTGCTAGTGACCTGAGACAGCCAATGTTGGACGACAGCGAGGAGCCACATGTGAAGGAAGAGCGCGAGATAAATGATTCGGCACAAAGAACAAGCGGAATATTCAAGAGACTTCCCTCAGTGAGGGATGCGATTTGCTTGCTCAGGCGTAGGTATGTTACGCGGGGCAGTTTGGTGTGAACACACATTCACTGGGGAAGTGAGGACATTAGTTGTGTTGTTAATAAAGAAAGCCATGTTTTGCAGCCCCACATTTTCGCAAGCAGCTTTTGTTACGTTCTTCAGTAGCCTTGCAGATGGGGGATGGCACACTTCGATTCTGGTAATACTTTGTCGAAGATATACACAGTCAATTTAAGAGATTGGGTTTAACTTAATGCAGAAGATATATAGTTCAAACTGACAAATTCTGAGATCATATGCAGGGGAAAGGAGACTAAACAAAGATCATATTGCCGGATGTTTTACTTTATGTAACATTTTCCACTGCAACTGCAGTACTATTTAAAGGCTCGTTTCCAGTTCGATAAGACCCAATTTGCTGATTTGATGCTAATTGGCGGCATTGGAGCAACTCTTACACAAGTACTCCCACATCCTCTTGTTCCACGGTTTATACTTCATAATATTATAAGGGAATATATTTTAGTGGCCAATTTCAATTGCTCTGTTTGGTAACGATTTGAATGCTTCAGCTGCTTCTCATCCCCATAATAATGCCTGCCCTAGAAGAGGAGAAACTGCTGTCGGCAGGGCTGTTTGTTGGCTGCTTAAACGTATGCTCCGGCCTCTCTTGTCGCAAATTTCATCTAAAGCAGCGCTAGTTAGTGTTAGTATATCTTATGATCAATAGCATAACCAAAAAGAATAGTCTACTGGGTGTTCACGACATATGGTACTACATGCAGATCTTGGGTTACAGCATATCGTGGTCTCGATGGGTAATTTTTTTCCCCCAAACACTTCAATATTTGCCAATATCCACTCAAAAGAATCTTTCAAAAAAGTTGCAAGTTTTGCAGGTTCCTTATGCCATAGCACTGTGCTCTGCTTTTGGAGTTTTTGTTCACCCAAGCGTAAGTTTCTTAACTCGAATTTGGCCACACCCCTTATAAAATTTTGTTAATATGTGCGGTTTACTCCTGCGAGTTAGCATTCTGATCAGTGGTATCTCGCACTGGACAGATATGTAGCATTGCATCCAAACTAGCTGGGCCCAGGGAACAGGTACGGCTTCTCACCCGTCTTATTGACATTTTGTTCAGATGTAAATTGCTTGGGAATCTAAAAATGATCAGCCACCGGCCACACTGATACAGGGAATGGCTCAGGGATCTCTTTCAGGAATTAGCTCCTGCGCCAACATCATTTCGCCATTAATTTTCAGTCCACTGACAGGTATGAGGCGCTCAATCTAGGACATACTTGGTTCTTGAAACAGGTAGTAGAAACTGATAACTTTGCGTATGTATGCAGCCTTGTTCCTGTCGGAAAAAGCACCGTTTTATTTTCCTGGTTTTAGTATAATGTGTGCGGCTCTGGCAATGGTAAGACCATCAAGCCTCCTTAAGATTCCCCAATTCTGATGAGAACCATCTCGGTATCTCCTACGGTCATTTAAAATGAAACTAGAACCCAACACACATATCCAAGGATCAGGACTTTTCTGAAACCGGAGGTGTACAATATTAGCATTATATTTGTGTGGAATAACGAGAATCGAGTCTAATGATCATCGACCTATCTTTCTCAGGGCTCGTCTGCTTAAGTTTCTCATCATGAAACCAATAGTTCATCGGATTTTCTTGGTCTTGTAACTAACATAACAAAACTACATATGGGACTGCAGATGATTGCTTTCATACAGAGTATAATGATCAGGGTTGTCCGGTCTGATGTTGGTGGCCAAGGTTGCAGGAATCCCTTAGTCTGAGAGGAGAATGAGTCTTGGATACAAGGATAATCTACCAACCATAAAATAATTTCTGTAGGCATCGTACGTGACTAATTTAGCTTGTAAAGAGTTTTATAATTCGAAATATTCAATATGCACTGCACTATGTGTTTTGATATTTTGTAGCAATGTAATGTAATGGGCATGCAACTTTTTTAATATGTTTTTTGTAGATTCTTTTGTTTTGTAAATAAATCAGAAATCATACTAACAAAAACTGGAGAATAAGTTACATATGGAAATTTTGCTGAAGAATATTGATGTGGCAAGCTAACTGGCAAAGCATAGGCTTTCTGTCATTCTTAATACAAGTTATTGTACATTCAATATCTGATGGTGTTGCAATTCTTTTCCGAGGCTGCTTATATATCATATACTTAGCATTTTATACTTCCTATTCTTACAATTTCTTTCGGTCCCTCTACAGAATACAGAGATGTATGACTAGGATTATAATTTGAACTGGAAACCACAACTAACAAATCCGATGGTACAGGATGATTACACAACATTAAACATTGAGAATTTCATTGTCATGTTTTCTTAAACTCCATTTTTTCCGACTACAAATTTGGACAATAAATCAACTCCATTGGCTCTATTTTTTAAACCTCGAACAAAACAATTTTCAGGCAAGTACAGACTGCTGCAAGCAAAAGATTATGCATGCACAAAGAAATCAGGGATTGCGGGAACGTGGAAGCCACATTATGTCAAACATTAAGGATCTGTTTAGTATGAGAAAAATGGAAAGGAGGAAAAGGGAGAAAAAATTCTGATGGGCTTAATTTAAAAAATTAATAAAATGATATTAAAAACTTTTAATTAATTTTTATTCTCCTTTTGTTTTACATTTTTTCTTTATTAAAATTTTATACCCACTTTTTCAATTTTCTACAAATGAAAATTTTTCCTCCCCTCCTATTCCCTCACACCAAACATAGGGTAAATAACTAGCGGGTAAACTTTCATAGCATGAATAGTAATCATCTTAGATTGTTCCACTACTAAGAACACAATCAAGATCAAATACCTTCACATACGCCCGGAGTACCCGTTCTGCAGCACAAAGAATAATATCTAGCGGACGTCGTCACTGAAGCCATAGAAGTTAATAAACAAGGGGTTGTAAGGGAAAAGAACTACGAAGAGGAGGAGGGTTGGGAGAAGCAAAAATAGTTGGACCGTCAGACAAAGATTAATGTACTCTCAGCACGTAGTAAAGCAGAGAGAATATTTAACTATTTTATTGTACATCATACAATTGACGATCACATGATTTAATCTATCAGCCACTAAACATATTATTATTACAAATAAGTCTCAGCCCCCCTGGCAGAAGAAAGTTGAGACATCATCAGCTATAAAACCTAAACAATATACAAGGCATGTAAACTGAATCCTATAATATCAGGATGAAAATATATGCTTCAAGAGCAGACAATCCACCTCATTGAATTGGAAATATGTCATCATCATTGTTATCCATGTCCAGATACCTAAATTTCATATCACCCCCTCCGTGTTCTTTATATTTAAAACTAGAATTCAGATAGCAATTAGTCTCCTGAAACAAGTTCAAGTTGTCCACAAGCTTATGATACGCATTGCATTCGCAACACTGCCAAAAATGAAGGAAACAAAGGGGTTAATTTTCTTTCAATTGACATCAGAACTTTCATATAGATGCAACTGTGCCAGTTATGTTTTCACGTTCAGCATTATTAATCGCAGATAAAAAGGTCACAAAATCTAGATAGCTAACAGAATAATCTACTAACTGCTTATCAGCTGGTGGCGAAGTTTGCCAGACCTGAGATCAATATCAACAAGTAACACCCATATATTCTTTCATTGTCCAATCAACTTTTTCCAACGAGGAATTAATCCTAGATAGAAGCAGTTTCAAGACTCACTCGAACAACAATATTGATCCATTATTTCACAATACTTGCCCAATTCCATAGGAAAAATACTGGACAAGCTAAAACCTTACCTGAACAAAAACAGTGCCGTCAGTATAAGCATGAGGATTGATAGCGCGCGTAGTTCTCTGCCCGCAGATGGTACAAGTAAAAGCTACAAGCATCCTTCGGCGAGGCGATTTCGTGAAAAGAGACCAAGGGAAAGTGGATATGTTTCCATTGTCAGATTTATTATCCTTCCCACCGGCCGGAACAGAAGGTCCTTCCATACCTGAATCTGTAGTCCAACCTCTTCCCGCCGCAGCACTCAGCACCAATCCCATCGCAGCGTCCTAAACCACAAATTTTATCACAAGTCAACATTTTTTTTCTTTGGTTTATGATAAACAATACGGGTGTTCTCCCAAAGAACAAATTATTAGAAATTTCAGAAGGAACTGCGATTAAGTTGAAATTTTGAGAAAGAATCACATACCTTGGAAAGAGGGGAAAGGGAGAGCCGACGATCGCTGAGAACCGGAAGATTTTCGATCTTCTTCGAATCAAATTGGGAGCTCGAATCATTATCATCACCTGAAACCATGATCAGAACATGGTAAGGTAATATGTATGTTCATTAGTAATTAATGAAAATATAGAAAAGTAAGGAGATGAGTACGCTTGGAGGAAGCACGACACTGGAGGGTCCTGGGTGTAAGGCATCTTCTTGGAGGCAAAAGGGAGAAAGGAGAAGAGGACGACGCAATAGTTGCAGAGGAAGAGCTCGCCATGGTTTCCATAAACGGTGGGTCGATGTTTCTGTGGTAATACCGTATGCTTTGCTTGCCTCGCGGAAAAATATCATAAACCGCGTTCTCATGACATACAGGAGCCGGCATTGCTTTATTCGTGTTTCGGCCCAATTCTTTTTACTTGGTCCAATGTTGTCGAGCGAAAAACATCCTATTACTGAAATATTGTCCGATTTCTAGCCCAGTTCAGTAGTTAGCAAGAGAGAACTTACTGATGCCCAAGAAAGAAGAGCGAGGACTTCAATTCTTGGCCCAGGAAAAACGTTATATAATACTCTCTTCATCTTTTTTTTTAAAATAAGCAACAACCACTATTTCTCTCTTATCCCTAATTAATATGAGCAACATTGACAAATTGTCTTAAATTTTTGTAGCAAATTTTTTTTATTCTGCCTCTATTAAATATTTATTTTAGTAGTTAATATATTTATTTGTTGTTTATCAAAACATCATTTCCTAGATAATAAATGTTCTTAAAATTATATTTTAATATAATCTCTCTTCATTGCACATTCTCTTTCTCCAATAATTTTCTTTATTGTAATAATTTTCTTTTTTTCTTATGCTCTTTCTTCCATAAATAAAAGTATTTTAGAAAAAAAAATTTCAATTTTTCCTCATTCATTGTCACCAATTTTAACTAAGCTTTTGATTTGCATGATTTAGTCAGGTTACTTATAAAAAGTGATGGAGGCAGTACCATTACATGTTGCTCTAATGCTCTTTATTTATAGCCATAGCGTTCACGGTTGATGTTTAAACGGATGCTGAGTAGTCTAGTTATCCCCCGGCTCTTGTACGCACCCGGCACCCGTTTATTTCCAACAGATTGGGTTCCAAGGCAACAAGAGAGTCCAATCCGGTTTCAATAAAGTTAACTTGTTTTCAGTTCCCCAAAAACAAAATAGTAATAGTCAAATTTTTTTAAAATAGCATGTTTTGCGGTGAACCGGAAAGATAAGCGAGGGGCTTACCGTTACCGGCGCATTTAGAGTGGGAGAAAAAGTGAAAAACTAGGAACACAGATCCGTGCCTTGCGCAGCACACATTTAGTTATAGTATTAGCTCATCTATCCAACTGAAGTTTATATTCAACACTAATAAATCCTTGCTTGAACTGTCCAATACTATTACCCTATGTTTTATCAATAACTACATATTTGAATTTGTTATTATTAAAGTCCCGTTGACTAATTCAAATCACCCACTGACTCGAATAATTAAAACGCAAACAAATGAAACAATCACATTGTACTATTCCATCCCTTATTATAAGATTTTTTTAACTAAATTATGCGGTCTAAAAAACAGTTAAAATTAATTAAAAACAATTAATATGTAATAAATGTAATTTTTTTTTGAAATACACCCCTATATATAAACCGATAGATGTGAGAAAGTAATAGTGAGATAAATAAAGAGAATATATTAAATGCATTAAATTAGGAATAAAATAGGTAAAAATCTATTAAATATTTAGACAAACTCAAAAAAGATCTTACAAAAAGATACAGTCTATTTAAAAAACTAGATCTTATAATAAAAGACGGAAAGAGTATAATTTACAAAACACCATTCACAAACTCACTCGTCATTTCACTTCATTTGTAGTATTATACGTTGGCAAAATAAATGACACGCTGGTAATTTAAAATTTTGACTGCTGCTTGGCCAAGACTTCTAGGAATGCGAAACAATGCATTTGGAAAGTAGACGCGCAAAGGTGAAATGTTATTCTTAATCCTCAATTCAAGTAGGCGTTGCATATATTTTCAGTAAATCATCTCAATTTCTAATTTACGAAAAGCTCCTTACTCGGGCCGGAGAACGAATAAATGAACATGTATGCACAAATATCAGCCATCACAAACAAAATAAAAATGACCTAGAACACATGTTAAGAACACTTGTATGCTATATTATGCTTTGACACAGCAAGATTCCACCCCAAACAGTTCATCTTAATCATATGTTATGTACAAACTACAAATGCATCCATTATTTTGAGAGGGCATAGTTTTGATCCTGCGAGCTGTGACTCAACTGAACAAGTCTTCATGGCTGGCAGTGTCCCCACCATCCTCGTCATCAGAACCATCACTGTTAGCATCAAATGTCAGTATCAACTGTAGAAGCTGCTGACCTGCGGCTGAGTTTTCTCCGTCGTGCTCTGTGCTAGTCCTCCGCGTTGGAAGTGAAAGTAGCTGCAACATCAGATCTTGAGGAGGCCCCATCCGGTGCATCCAGCCCCTTGCCTTTGGTTTCTGTTGGACACACAAAATTATCATCAATAGCAACATTAGAATCACCAGCAAAATTATCATTGTCGCCATTGTCACAAATAACACCACCAGCATCATCATTGTTATTATCACCACCATTGTTGATTTCATCATCACCATCACCATTGCCATCATCATAATCAATATCATCATCCACAATATTGTCCTCTCCTCACCAGAGTCACACCCATTATCGTCGTCGCCATCATCATCATCGCCAATCATCATCATCATCATAGAAATCATCATATTCATCAATATCGTTGTCGTCGTCGTCATCGTCATCATCATCGTCGTATCATCATCATCCATCACCAATTGTAAACCAATGAATTTGATCAAATATGGGAACCTTCTTCAGAGGAGTAACAGCAGAGAAATCAGTCCTCTGCTGCCCAAGCAGTTCATAGAACATAATAACCTATCCTTCTTGTATTCACAATAACGTCATAACATTGGTTTGTTAAGTTCACGTTTTTCTCCAAAAATTTTCTATGTTGAAGAGTTTTTTCATTTTCATATTATCAAAATAAAAATGAAATGTTGTGTTTTGATCTGCAAGATGAATCTCCAAATAATTTCTCAACAAGGAGAACTCAGAGAAAAACATTATTTGCTTTAGGCATTATTTCAGAGAAAACATATTATTTACTTTAGGCATTATTTCTACACCCAGAATCATGGACCAAAGTCGCACAATTAAATCTTAGAGCTTCATACCGTGTCCAGAACAAGTTGATGCATTTCCTGAAATTAAAAGGCATCAGACATCCAAAAAGGATGATAGAGCTATTAAAAGGACAATCCGCCATAGCTGGAAAAATTACTTGGGGGAATATCATGGAGGTGAGGAACATGCAGAAGCGTTGTAGGAAAGCTTCTAGGGAAAGTTGATAGGAAATGGGAAAAAATCTAAAGAGAGTTTAGAGCAGGTAGAATTTGTTTTAAAACCAGAAGTAATCATGGGAGGGTGGCTACAGGAGGCGTAGCCCCACAGAGCTGGAGTTTTTCTTGTTTTCTATTCTATTTCCTACTGTGCTGTTATTATATTTACTGCAATTTCTAAGAGGGAACTCTAGTTTCCATTATAAAAAATTTGGATTTTATGTCCAAAAAGTGGATCTCTCGAATTGGTTCCCACAATATATTAAGTATTTACATAGACAGTTTTTTAAAAAGGTAGTGTTTTATACACATAACAGGCATCATGCGACATAAAATAATATCTTGGTGTTCTTAACTTGAAATAATTAGCTCCAGGCAACAAGCCAAAAGAAAGAGAAAAAGAAAGAAATAAAGAATTAGCTGAAGAATATATTTCATACCTGCTCGATGTTTTTGGGTAAAGTAGCTTTGTCTAAGGCCTTGGGAGTCCATATCTTGATGTCATTATCAATTCCACTGCTTGCAAGAACCATTGTATGAGGATGAGATTCAATGCAATTCACTACATGCTTATCTGCTTCCATTACACGAATAAGCTTTCCATCCTTCTTTCTCCAGATGAAAATCCGGCCACAGTCTGACCCGCTCACCACATACTCGCATTTAGGCCCAAAAAAATTAACACCCTTCACTGTCTCGCAATTTCTATGCCCCTTAAAAACTTGAGAAGTCATTTTCTCATCCATATCCATGTTCGATACAGATGCTGCAGAGCAATGATCACCTCCCATTTCACTTGCATCACTGTTCATAGAAACTGGGGACCCAGGAACTGGGTTGGGTCCCAAGCCCATATCGTGTGTAAAAAGATAAATGAACTCGTCATTGTAGGACACTAGCAATTCACTCTGTTCAGAAAAGGCCAAGCCTGTTATTCCAACTTGTTCGTCACCAATCAAGTGAGGAGGGCAAAAGAAGTTAGAAGGTTGACCAAAATCAGTGGATCCATCCCATTTGTACTTGCGAATATCATAAAGTCGAGTGTACTCATCTGATCCAGCAACCGCAAAGAGATTGGGGTTCCTTGGATCAATTGCAATTGCATTTAGATGGATGACTTGCCTGTAACTCCTATCATTAATTGGCTGGCAAGTAAAAAGTTCTGTTGCAGCTCCAGTTCTCAGATCAAACTGTAATGATGCTCAATGTTACTTGACAATATAAATTCAATCGTAAGATTAAAATTTACAAAGGGCTAACCAGAGAATGATATAGAGCATCAACAGTGAACTTTCATTTAAAACATTCTATGCAGCTCACAGATAAGAGTCAACTAGTCATTTGATTTAGAAGTTTGAATTTTAAGCCAAAACAACTAAAAGCATAGCTTAATATATGGAAGCCATCACCCTGTTTACAGCCCATCAGATTGGTGTTTTATCTCAAGTGGGCCCTGTCCCTAAAAGAGAAAAGTTATCTGTGCTTGGGCTCAACCAATTGTAACCCATTGTGAAAGTAGATTAAAGGATAAAAAATAAAAAACAGCAAAGGTGATCAATCGCTCACATGCTGTACCAATCCATCTTCACCGCAAGTATAGAATATATGAGGGCTACCAGGCTCAATGGCCAACTTGTGAGCGCGTCCTTGATGCTTGGCTAGCATCTTAGTTTTCACTCCTCCACGTTCCAGAATTTGTGCATGTCTCACCTAAAATTGAGAGTATACACTCATAAGGAATCAACCTTTCCAAGTGAATAACACATAAAGGTTCATATATATTAATAGACAAAGACCATTATATTTATCATGATATTAAAGTAGATAAAAAAATTGGGTAACAAATGCCATTCCCATAAGGCTGCAACCATATTATGTTTTTCTTGAGGATAAAGATAGAAAAAGTGCACACACAAGGTAGGGATAATTGCTAATCATTCAATAACATGAGTTCCTGCGATAGACAATTCAAATGGTAACAGAGCGGCCCTTACCACAATGTGACAGAGAGGATAGAACGGAAAGGTTGACCCAATGAAAATAGATGATAATCTTTTCACAATGTGACAGGTATGAGAGGGAATACCTGTCCATCAGCAGCACAAGTCACAATGCTTCGATCATCTGAGTGGGGCATAAATTTTGCTTGGAAAACATTGTTAACATGACCAGAATGAAAGGAAAACTTTGTATGCCCAGTCTCCCAGTCCCAGAGGATAACCCTCCGGTCATCAGATCCTGACACCAAAATGTCACCCTCTCCATTGAAGCCTACAGTGTTTACACAACCTCTGTGCTTTTCCAGCTTCCTGTGTAAATCAAGTCGAAGGACAAGATCCTAAAAAATATGACATCGATTAGTTTAAAGCTCTGAGTTTCTGCTATCATAAGCATATTCTTTTTCTACTTCTTTTTTATTTATTGCTCCTTTTTTTTTTGGGGGTGGGGGGGGGGGAGCAGGAAAAGAAACAAGAACTCTTATTTGAAACGCAGCTTAGGAAGGCAAATCTCAGCACCAGCATAAAAGCAGAAAGAACTTTATGATAAATTCTATTTTCTTAAATTTCAAATGGTATTAACATCAAAAGAGTTTCAAATGAGTCAAAAAAAAAGGAAAGATCTGTCATTAGAATTCAAAATTGAAATTTCAGATGGTAACAACATTGAAAGAGTTTACTATCAGACTGAAAAGATTGAAAAAAGGAAGAAAAATCTGTCATTGAAATTGACATGTCTATTGTGATGCAATTTCCAAATAAATTATTCCAGGAATCTCAATTTCTAATCCAAGGTCACCACCCTATGAGATGAGAGCAGCTGTCTATAATATCCCCAAAAGATAAATATTTTATCTGTTGATGAGATATTTTATTGATAAGAAAGAAAAGAAATGAACCTATAATACTGATATCTAACAGATGCAACTAGTTAACATGGTTTTAAAACTACTTTTGATCTCTTCTAGATGGCAGTACACCAGACAAGATACAATCTTATCCCCATTAATGCTGCTGGGATATTACTCAATGAAACTTGTAAAAACCAGCGATAAATCTGGTCCACTTTTCATCAGAATTTGCAAAATCAGTGCCTGGAAACAGCCAGCAGCATAGTTCTGTGATCAGTATCAAAGCTAGTGCAAATTACACGCATTAAGATATACATATACATCCTTGTGTTCCATTTGCTTCACTTTTAAGAGATGGCCCGTATTTGAATCTGTCTGGAAAAAACTAAAGTTCATGCAGAAATAAACCTAATTATATTCATAAACCGCCTCATTAATAGGCATCCAACAATCTTCTCAGGAACAAGGTTACGATTTCAATTCCGAACCATCTTCTTAGCTATCCATTTGAAAGTTAACTTTAAATGTTCCTCGATTACCAACCAGAAGTTTCCAATCAAAAAAAGAAAAATCAACAGTCAATAATAGCACCAGGTGAAAAAGAAGAAACGATGTATGGCTTCAACCAAACACATAGACACGACATCTAAGTCTAAACCGTCGCATTTTCCACCAATGGAGTTCATATTTCCACTAAAACATCTGCTTCAACAAGTAAAGTGACTGACAAGGAAAAAAATGCTAGCTAAATTATCAAAGGGCAACAATAGTAGAGAGTTCTGGATAATCAGACCTCAGAACCGCCGAGGCGATGGGCGAAATTCCTGCCAGAGAGCTGGCCGACCTCTCGCTGCCAGACGTCGACTACTGCGTTGTCGATGCTCGTTCTTGGCCTCTTGTTCATCGTCTGCGCAAGAAGACAAGTTTGTCAAGGAGAGATTGTTAATAATGCAGTAAACGATTACGTATTGATCAAATTATAACCCAAAACAAAAAATCCACGGGTAAATTGAGAAGGTAAAGATGAGACAAGACCGCGGATAGCAAAACAGGTCAATCAGGTGGAAGGTACTGGGGAGAGATATTGAGGCGCTGAAACCGAATTACCGCCAGATCTCCCCAAGATGGATCAATTTGGAAGCAGAGTTGAATTGCAGACACAGGCAACAAAAAGGCAGCAGCGACTTTGTGTTTATGGGACGGTTTATCTCTCTGTGTGTCTGAAGTAAGAAAGAACTAAGGTTCGTCCTTTATGTCAGGGACCATCATTGCTCACTACTATTTCCTTCTGCTGCGATCACGGGAGAATGCCCTGGTTCAGTGCAGAGAACGCACGAAATCATCCAAGGAGACGTGGCGCCCTGCAAAATAAACTAATGCCAACATGTATGATGCCTTCTACAAATCTAACGAACCCCATTGCCAATGGGCCGGGAGGCAAAAACAGTTGGGCTCAATTGTGTTTTTATAAACCACCTCTTTATTGTCTCTTGAACTCCAAAAAAAAAATTGAACATAGAGTTGATTATACAAACCCAATGAAGGAATGTGTCCACATGTTGATAACAACGATCTTTCCTAAATTCAAAAGAAGTTAGTTACAACCAACGGAGGTTGGTCCAAGTGATAAGTGGCTTGGTACCACTTAAGCAAGGTATCGAGTTCGAATCTCAGCGTATACAGAAATTTCCGTTGGGAGACTCACCCACTACAATCAGGTACGCGACACAGAAATTCCCGTTTGGAGACTCGCCCACTACAACCAGGTGCGTGACACGGGTTGGATCCAGATGTAGTAAAAGCAAAGTTTCGGTGAACTGGGTGGGCAACCACAAAAAAAAAAAGTAGTTAGTTACAATAACGAGATTGGATCTAACAGAAGAGACTAGTACCCAACTATCCTTTTAATTATGATTACCTTTAAATGAAAACACTCTTAGTAGTATATGTACTCAATTGAGATACTTTAAAGAATGAATTATATATTTGGGAGAGAATATGGATTAAGGTTTTATATTTAGAATCAAATACAATTCTCAACTAACTCTTATATTAAGGACTAACAGTAGCATATGGATTGTGCATGTGATCACAACAGGAAGAATTTGATAGATTTGAGTAATCAAATCCAACAGCATAATTCTTGCTGCTAACAATTATAATTTTGATGCTATAATTAATAAATGTACAGATACTATATGCTTATTTAATTGTTGTGACCTGTTTTTTTTTCTTTTTACTTCCATGTTCATTTGTAAGACAAAAGGACCAGATAAGACAATTTCAACGTCACCTGACTTCAAGGCAACTTAGATGGGTTAGGAAACGGAGGGCGAATCAAGGCCGCAAGGACAAACAGAGGAGAAAGTGAGATATAGAAACCTACAAATGAGAGACTGGCTTAATTTGATGCACCATGATGACCATCTAAATCCCAATTCAGCACAGGTTTCCCAATTTGATTAACGCAAAACGAGATATATGCACACAAGAGTTTAGAACCATTTGAGTGCTAAAAGTCTAATTTGTTATAGGTCTATCTTTTTGCCCACTTCATAAAATGCTATCCGTGTTTTGTATATATACTCCTCCGGTCCTAATTATAAGACCCAATTGACTTATTTGAGGAGATTAAGGAAGTAAGTTAAGTTGGTTATTTATAATAAATAAGTGTTGTTATTCCTAAAATATCCTAATTAAGTATATGGGCTAAAACTATCATTATTAGAAGGATTATCTTGGAAAAAATGCATAAATAAAAGAAAATGGATTGGGTCTTATAATTAGGACCAAATAAAAGTCAAATTGGGTCTTATAATAAGGACCGGAGGAGTACTATATTATTGGGTGAACTGTGTAATTCTGGATCTACATGGACTGCATTATGGTTCATCCTATTTAATACTTTGCTTTTGGTTGGCGAGATAGATGCAACGGAGGCTGAAAGACTCAAGTTATTCCTGCAGAAGTACGTTGTTGTCGGTGCGCGGGTCAGGAAAGCATGGCAATGTTGGGTGTTGATCTGTAAAGGAGATAGTGGTGAACATGACAAGGCCGCTAAAAATTTATTGTTTTGTTGCCAAAGTAGGTAATCCCAAAAGGGACTGTTCATGTCCGCGGAATTTCTTTGCTAATGTTCTTTAGGCTTTTTATACGTTAGCAATACTTAACAAAACCTTAAATATTTGAAATAATCCAAACAGTTCAATGACGTCATGACCCACGATATACAATATTCCAGACAAGAATCATTTGAAAGTATTTGATTGAAACGCATCCTTAACGTGCTTACATAATTATTTTTTATTGATTTATAGTTTCATCTTGCGGATGACCAGACCGACTTAAAAGTTTTTCGTGCTTATTATAGAGAATGAAGTAGCTAACGCCTTGAAGGCTTACTCCTAGAATCTGGCATTGAAAAAAAATGAAGGGACAAAGCAAACAATGTTATATTTCTGAACAATGGAAATGGATTCAAACTCAAAGAAAGGCATCTGTACCTAATGCAATGTCAATATATGACACAAATAAAATGGTTCAATATCTGCATCCCAAGGCAATGTTCTGCCTATCGAATTCGCGCACATCCCATGTTTAGACTGCTTGTTCTCAATCTTTTTCACAATGCAAAATATATAACTTACGGTACGTGTTTAGTTGTATACCGATCGAAAGGTAAAAATAGCAATTATTGGTGGCTAAATACTAAAAGTATAATTATCATGAATGTATTCCAACGTTATTTTGCAGGTGAAACATTGTCATCTTTCGTGTGCTTACAATGTTAAAATAATATGAATTTGTAGGTAATTAATAACAACGTTTGGCAAATATGTATGAGAACTATGGGAATACGTATGGATGAACTGAGACCGTTTTCGTGCAAGCAGTTGGGACAGGGAAGCAAGAGATAAAGCCTTGTCGACTTTATCAGCACCAAACTAAGCCAAGACGGGATAAAACTCATCTACAGTGTATATTATGATGCAGACATACGCTCTATACAGAATCCTACCATGCTGAAAGTGGGAACTAATAACACACTTTGCAGCAGCTAGAGCCGCAGGGTTAGTGGGGTGGTCACAAATTAGATTTAGTTGAATTAGGCGATGAAATGTGGTTCAAGTCTGAGTGGTGGCGGTGACCCAACTGGGAGGAAGGCGGTCGGAGGTGGTGGGCATGCTCCGAACGCTGATATCGAGGGGAAGGAGCCGGAAATGGACGTCGATCTCGCGGAAGATCTTGATCATCTCTTCAATCAGAAGGGATCTTCTGACAAACCTTTCCCCCATGTCTTGGTGGTTCATTCTGTGACTTGGCCACACTGCTATTCTTATCATGTTCAGTTGGTCAACGTCCTTGTACACTATCATAGGTGAGGGATACCAGAACTCTTTCTTGCTTTCGATGTAACTGTAATATTATAGTCATTATTGAATCAGAGATAGGCATCAATTAAGGTAAAAAGCATACATGCAAGCATCCTCGTGCCTGCTGCGCCACATGCACATACCTATGTATTTTGTTTATGATGAGTGTGATCTTTTCGGGTGGGGTAGAAAAATGTACTAAGAACTCCGCAGCTTCCCCCATATCGGGACTCCGGTAGAAATTATATATTGGCTTGGTAGCAAGAACGCTGTTAGGGATCATTACCTTCAAATTGTCGTATCTCAGAAATATGGTCGTCAATATGTTCATTTCTTCCACAATCATCTGAAATTTGATAGCACGGATATAATTATTAATCCCCTTTGAATATATACATGGCATCACTTCACAACAAGATCAGTAGATATCTCAGTAGAATCCATCTCAAGAGAGGTAAGGTTAGGTTAATTACCTGGATGCCATCAATTTCGCATCTGTCTCCCACATCAAAAGGGTGCATGACAAATAAGAAGATGATGGCTTCAAATACGGTCTTGCAGGTATTTCCAAATATGAATGCGGCCAGAACGAGCTGGGAGCTCACGACGACAAGAAATTTGCTGGTGGCGATTTCCAGTAGTAAGAGCCAAATAATGAGAATGATAATGGCCACTAAAAAATTGAGCATTCGATGAAGTTTGTTTACTGCCGTTTTCGTGTCATTCAACGTCAAAGCAAGCGCTCTCCTTTCTCTGAACGCGTTCACCTACAGTTTTAAAATGCCATGAAGATATATAGTGCTACTTGTCAAAATCTCACACTTCTTATACGTGCAAGTTAACAAATATCAACAAGTATGTATAAATGTGGAGGGTGTCAATTCTTACCACCCAGTTCTTCAAGGCTGATTTGTTTATTTTCCCCGTGTCAGGCGCTCCTTCGAATAGACTAAAGGTTTTGACAGCTTCATCTTCTCTCATAAAGCGCAACAAGTCCTCTAGGTATATAAACCTTCAAAAAGCCGAAGCAATATTGTAATTAATTAACACACCAAACATGACAAGCAGATCTTGATTAATGGGGATACGCTTTACCGGGGAAAAAGGAAAAAAACTTGATTGCATCATTCTCAAAGAATTTAAATAACAAATGCTTCGAGAAGCACAAATAAGAACACATAGAGGAAAAGTTTATTTGTTACAAATATAAGTACGTGTCTGTGTCTATATTCTATTATATTCAAAGGATTCAAATATTTTTGTCACCAGAAAAAAAAAGATTCATATATATTTTTTAAGAATTAGATGAAAAGATTCTTTAAAATTTACGTCCTTGAATCTCATGATTTAAAAAGTTGTTATCAAATTTATATAATATATGTACACACACACTAAGCGGTTCGGCATAAAATAAATACTAGCGGTAATCTTAATAATTATTTAAAATTATTAAAACAAATTTTCTTGTGATGTGATATATATGTTCGGCTCAATTGGAATGAAAGGATAAGAGAAAAACCTGGATCCCCGCCTGGTGACATTCTGAAATATCTTTTTGGCTGCTGCTTTGGCCTCATTCTCACTGCGTATCTGCGTGATATGTTCGTCTTCTTCATGGGTTGAACCTTGTATCTGCTCGTCAAGCGTGGAAAGAGCACCGTGTCGCACAATGTTCATCAACCTTTTCATATTCCACGCAGACACATTCCTGGGATTCAACTTATGTAAGTAATCAATGGTTATGCCATCATCTGATTTCTTGGACAGTGGTCGAGAAAACTTGCCACTTTTCAGATGAGGACTCTTGAGAAGCATCCCGCTCCTGTTCACCTTTGGGCTCTTATTGAGAGAAGAGAAGGCCGATGCCCTCAAATCAGGAGGTATGGTGATTCCTGCATTCTGTAGCTTCATCACCTCTTCCGCAAGCTTCTCCTCCTCCTCCTCCTGCCTCCGAATCTCCACCAATGGCGGCCCCGAAAGTGTTTCGATCACAAACTGATTGAACAACGATTCCTGTATCCTGTCGAAATAGGTGCTCACGTGGAATGAAGAAGCCAGAACCTTCACCATCAGAGTTTTCACCAGCCACACCAGAGTACCCACTAAGAAGCAGATCAACACCTTGGTCACATATTCTAGGAAGTCGTTTTTTGTCTCCCTTTCGACTTTTTGATCGAACAGAGAGTGCCATGCAATTAAGACGAGGCCCAACCAGAGGCAATTCTGAACTGCCTTCTTCACCCCATACACAAAGTACAGCACCCTCTTACGCAGCAGGAAATTCCTTTCGATGAAGAACACTGCAATTCGAATCACCCAGTCCGAAACTAACCTGCCACAAATGAGAACCAAAACCATCACCTCCCATTTCCATAACTTCAGCTTCCACAGATTCTTTCCTCTCAAGAATGGGATGCAGAGAGTGGTTATCAGTGCCGCTACAATTGAAATCAAACTCAACCATTCTAATAGAACCCAAATGCTGAATTTGGTCTTCTTGAAATCGTCCGGAAGATCCTCTTCTAAAAACGGGTCCTCCTCCTCCTCCTCCCCTTTCTTATTATTCCCCGCCTGCAAGCCCGACAGCATCTGCCCCGATTTCTGAACCCGGCCCGATTTTCGTTCGGGTTCATCTGGCGGGTCAATCAGTCGTGATTTGGTTTTTGCCCGGAGCAAACCCGACTTCCTCTGCAACGAAAGGTTCCTCTCGAAAGACGCGTTTGAGGTGCACCTCACAACCTCGCCGTCTCCGTTTGCCGCATTAATATTCTGTGCTGAGCCTCGACGGTCGGGCTGCGGTGGTTTCGGAAATTCATCCATGACCGGCGTATTATTGTACCTTCGTCGAAAGGAGTCGCCTGGTTCGTCCGCCGAATTAGGAGGCGGTTCTTCGAAGGAGACTTTGAGCTCCCTGGAGAAACTCAGCGACGCAGTCTCGTCCAGCGGAGGCAAATACGTCTTGTAAGGATCATGTTGGAGCTCGTCCATCTCTAAATCCATATCGAGGGACATGTCCCCGGAGAGCTGCTGTCTGTGCAAGAATTTACCAATGAGCTTGGAGGGAGGGTCGTCGGCTTTCGGGCCAGGTTGCTGGAAATCGAAACTCTGTTCATGTCTGGTGGCGATAACGTCACCTTCTTTCCACAGGTCGCAGCTGGGATCCCGGCGAATCTTGCTTTCACCCTGGGAGAAGGCCGCTTTGGAGGATTTGGGGTCGCTGTCGTCGATCTTGACAATCACCTCTCCGCTGTAGGTGGGGCTGTCGGTGGAGGTCATGGCGGAGGAAGAAGTAGCGTGGGCCTGATTAAGAAGATTATGTTCGGGAGATGAATCTTGTTGGAATAGAATGGGAATTTCTTCGCGGCCAGCGTCAGCGCTGTCCCCTGCGGAAAGCCTCGGGGAACGCTTGTAGGAACCATAGGACTTGAAAGATTTCCTGAGAGCGAAATCCATAAAAAAGAATCTTAAATCACGGATATTATGTCATCCGACGTGAATAAAGTTACGTGATTGAGAAAATTTGCATGTTGTGGGGAAGGACGAAGTTAGTTTTTGTTGGCTGTTGCACAGAGGTACAAGTAACTGATAATTATGGTTTAATTAGGAGATGTAACGTTGTGAGAGAGAGAGGTAGGGGAAAAATACGTTGCGAGGTGGACTCAGATTCCGACATGAATTGGTTTCAATATGGTGCAGTGCGGCGGAGGGAAACATGAACAAGCCAGCGCAACCTGCACAAAAAACAGGAAACTAATTATGGAAAGGTGGACGGAGGATATATGGATTGCTGGCCAAGAAAAGAAAGAATTAGGGTGCTATTCACAACGAATATACAAAAGTAGGGCTGGGATAGTTGGATAATTACATGAGTGCCACTCGTGAGAGACAGAGAGCTGGGATGGGAACCAAAAAGGTCGTAAAGTGGAAAGGCCACGGAATTTATAGAGGGAGAGAGTCAGGTTAATAATAGAAAAAAGGAGGGCATCAATGTCGGTTAGCCATTGCGGTTAAAAATTATTAAAAAAAAAAAAAGATATTACTGAAGAGGAATAGGTCGGAAAGGCTGGGAGATTGTGTTCTGTCGAAATTTGCGGAATTCATCTGCATTGAGATGCAGGCGTCAAAAAGAGTTATCAATATCAATAATATATTTAAAAAAAAAAAGATTTGAAAAATATCACGCTAGCTAGGTAATGAATAATTAATATTAAAACCGATGATTGATATATTGATAAATAGAATAACCAATCATTAATGCGCGTCTGGTGATTACAAGTAAATAAAACATATGCAGATGATTGGAGTATTTGGAGGGTGAGAGCTGAATTGCGCAGAGAAAGAGGGGCCTTATTGGCGTGGATGGAGTTGGTGGTTTCTCTTAGAACAGATGCTGTTCTAGTAAGGTCGCGTGGTTTCTCTTCGCAGATCGCGCAGCAAGCCGAGTACTGTTCACCCATGCAGTCGCAGTCTTTACTCTTTAGCCCGTTTTCAATATTTAAATTTCTTCTTAGCACTTAAAATACCACTGAATATTTTTTTGATTCATAAAAATATTGTTGACACATAGGGGGGAGAGATAGAGAGTCTAAAGGAAAAAAAAACAGAAGAAAAATTACAAAATAAATGTGTTGAGGCGGTATTTATAAGTGTTAAAATAATCCCAAAAATTAAATGCTAATAACTATTAACGATAAAAAAATAACAATTAAATTAAAATTAAGAAAAAATCTAAAATCTTAATTATTCATTATTCCATATATGAGAAGTCATACTTGAATGGATAAATATGTTCAATGCCTGGCAGGAGACATCAAAAGACCAATTGAATCCCCTCTTTACTATTGTGATGCTTAGTAAACTGTGGAAGGCAGAAGGGCCAATAGAGAAAAGCTGAAAGAGACAAAAGGCAACGACCCCAACTGTCAAACCCCATCTGTCCAGTGGGCAAGAGGGACAAGGGAAAAAGAGAATGGCAGATTTGGTACCTGCTGAAGAGTCATGCATGTCGCCTCCAAGAAAAGGCGGAGGAATTCATCACTATATATCATTAAGCACTTTATGAATTATTCGTGGTAGTCTTATTATTGTATGTTATTGACCCATAATAGCCTCAACAATATGCGCGTGCCGTGCGTGTGTCTAGTTGAGAGAAACAAATGCTTGAAATACTACTTTCCGTTCTTAATATAAAAACTAGTTGATTAATTTGAATAGATTAAGAAAAGTAGTTAAGTTAGTTATTTATAATAAATAGGTATAGTATTTTTTAAAATATTCTTACTAATCACGTGTATTAGTTAGAACTATCATTATTACAAGGATTATCATAAAAAAAAAGATAAATATGAGAGACAAAATAGATTGGGATCTTATATCAAAAACCGGATGAAGTATATCTAACACATACAGGGATTGATAATTATCCTTATCTGCAGCTAACCAAGTGTGAATGATATAAATGCCCAAATCACGTGTGGTCCGTCTCTATCCCTTGCGCTTTAATTTGTTTCCTTCTGAAAAGTTGTAGAGGCAAGACATTGGACGTGAACCTTAGGGTTGTTTTCTAATTGCCAAATCATATAATGTATACAATCCATCTTAAACACATCTACGTATATACTGAACAATATTATTTATTGATGCATGATGATATATATATATATATATATATATGAAACTCTGCTCAATGCTAAGCTTCATTGTCCCTGTGTGTTTTTCTTGGCGGAGCCATGCATATTAGGTTATTTTTTACATATAGGAATGATATTCAATTTTTGAAATGGAGATGGAAATTTCGAATGAAATATGGAAGTATTCTGAACAGAAAAGTAATAGCACATATATAGCTATGAGCTAACTTCTCAGAATTTTTGAAAAGAACTTGTGTAATGTTTGGAGCAGTGACGTTTGGATTCGGACAAATTCCATTATTTATTTGGATACATAAAATTTTATAAATTCATCACCGTTAATTCCTCTAGAAATTTAAATACCCAATCTATCCTAATTATTTCAAATCTCAACTATCTGCTATCCAATTACGTGGACAAGTCACACATGCAAGAGTGGAATACGTGTGGATATTGAGGGTCAGTGAACTTATTGTTCAACAATTTCGAATTATGTAGAGAACGATGTAAAATACTAATAATATATGACAACAATTATTATATGTAAATGAGTTGACTCATGTCAATGTACGATGATCCTGAACAAAGAATTGAAATAGGATAAACAAGTCCTGCGAACTCCTCCGTATGTTCTGTTCGGTCAATTTAGAAAAGGGTTCTAAAGATGCACTCCCTCATGCAGGTTCCATTTTGGGATCTGTCCGCATTTTACTTTTCACCTTCTGTTTTTGAAAAAAAAAAAAAAATTAAACACTATTATCCATGTAATTTTACAAAACAATCTTTAATTGTTCGAAATCAACCGAAGCGTTCAGAAGCAATGACCAACGATGGGACAACAAATTTAAAATCGTCAAGTTTCAGAGGCATGCTGGCACGGATACGAGATCTTACACAATTTACTCAAACCAACTTACCAAACCATAAAATGTCACAGTCTTCTTCCAAAGCCCTGTGTATGAAAATCCTTTGCTATTAATCCAGCAAATATGCGAGCGCGCGTGCACATATAAATAAAAGGAACAGCTCATCTAGGATAGATATCTGTGAAGAGACATGATAGTTTAAACGAAACGGCTTCTCCCTCTGTAATGCCACAGGCGAGTAGCTAAAGGCACGATGCTTATTTATACCACCATCTCTTTGTACAGACAAGGCCGTCGCAGTTTATCCCAGAAACAACGCGAGTGCCACCATTGAGTCATGCATGGCTATATATATACAAGACGTATATCGGCCAATTTCTTCTTGAATTAAGGAATTGAAATTTACAGAGATATATTCATTGCATTTTTTTTGTGGCAACATTCGTTGAATGTTAATATTAGCAGAAATTGGTGTTTCTTTTTTGAAAATGCTAAAAGGTGAGGAAAACCAGTGCAAGAAGGCAATTAGGTGGTTTGAGGAGACTGTACAGCTCAATCTAAACAGTGAAAAGATTTCCGCTACAGACATCATCAATTCTCCTATTTTTCAGTGATGACCTCTTCTGAGGGCAGAAAAAAATCCTCCAGATTTCTCCCTCCGCCTATCCTCTCCATCATTTCCGATCTGCTCCAATATTTACAGATTTTCAAAGTGTTATACTATAATATCACATAAAAAAATGCAGTCTTAATCCTTGCCGAGAAAAAAGAATAAGTGGAACAAAAAAAACTAAACAAGGATAATATATTAGTATCATTTTTATCATCAAGTCATGCTAAAGAAAGTAGCCATCTTATACCTCGTTAGCTAATTGCTGCAGGATCTCAATAATTGCACAGAAATCAGGTCTTAATGTTGGATCTTGCCGCCAACACCTCTCAAGAAGCTCAACAAATTTTGGATGTGTGTTCTTGGGGATCGTGGGTCGGAGGCCCTGAATTACATGTCAAGTGGAGGTAACAAATAGTCACCGTCCAAAATTATATATCCCAGTCAATTGTGCGCACCAATTTACTGAACGTTTCCAGAAAAGTAATTGTAGCAAAAGTAAGAAAACATCATGTAGTAGTTAATTCTATCAACTAAGAGAATTACCTTTTGAACCACTCCTATTGCAGCCTGTAGTGGGGTCAGATATTCATATGGAAGCTGCCACGAAAAAGCAAAGACAAAATTAATGGTTAACAAATCAACAAATAAAAGAGAGGAAAAAACATTTTGAAAATCTCATAGTAAGAAATACCTTTCCAGTGAGCAATTCCCACAAAACAACTCCAAAACTAAACACATCAGCCTTTTGATCATATGGTTTGTGTTCTATAACCTTCAAAGCAAATGAATCAGGGTAAGAAAGGATATCACGATTAGCAACCTTCCATCTGAAAGAGTATTTTGTCACCAGAAAAGTAATATGGGAACCATCATGCTTATTCTAAAATATACAATGCTGCAGGAATCCTCCTACTCTTTTGTATTTGCCACCAAAGACTCAAACTAAATGATCATTTCTTGAGCTTTGAATTTTCTTTAACCAAAATTGGAAAAATTAATCATCCAGCATCGTGGAGGCATTGGGTTGGTGAATTTGAGAAAAATAATAACGGAAAAAGAAGAACCACTAAGTTGCCCAAATTTTTTTCTCCATGAAAAGTGTAATTATCAAGTTGGTTATAGAGTGCTTTGTTCCAGGCATTACTCCACCACTTACCTCAACATTGTATGTATGGCCTAATTAGTAAGTTTCCATAAAGAAAAACATAAAACGTAAATATTTTCTAGTGGAGAAAAGAATGCCCACCAATATGTGAGAGTTTTATGCTTGCATTATGTAGATGGAAAACTTTTTCCCCTCAGGAAATTCAAAAGGACCTTCGTGGTAATTCTGTGAAGTTGTTATTGGAATCCAATTGAACACTCATAGCTCAGAGATAAATAGTTTCTACGCCTCTTATCTTTTACTGACAATAACAATTGTTCGCACCACAACAACTGACAATTTGGTGATTTCGTAAATTTTTTTTGGGGGGGGGGGGGGGGGATTAAACTTCAAGAGTGGTTACAAAGAAAAATGAGAATATATTATACCTCAGGTGCCATCCACCGGTAAGTACCAGTTTCTGCTGTCATGACTCCGGATTGATCTTTCACTCTAGCAACACCAAAATCAGCAACCTTGACAACCTGTAAGGTAAGACATGCGGAACTTTAGGCTTCTTCATGTACTATGTTATCAATTAGAGTTGGCCAAACATAAAAGGTTATCAGAGAAAAGAAAATGACAAGTCAAATAAACCTCGTACATGATTTTCATCCATCAAAAGATTAGCAGCCTTCAAATCTCTATGGATAATATTATTTTGGTGCAAGTAGTTCATTCCCTTTGAAACATCAATTGCTACTCTGAGCAGGGACGGAAATTTAAAAACACCCTTCTGCTTATGCAAATAGTCATACACACTTCCACCACTCATAAACTCTGACATCAAAAATAAGAAAAAGAATCACTAAAAGTCACACAGTTCTGTTGAGTTATCTTATTCTAAATCTTGTACGTCACTAAATTTCACCTGTTATTATGCAAAAGTGCGGTGGCTTGGTACATGCTCCAATAAATTGCACAACATTCCTGTGCCTAACCTTTCTGCAATTTCAATCACTGAGTCTTAACAAGTGTAAAACAAGAAAAAAGAAAACAACAATCAGTTTCTGTACTGTACATTCCTCAATGTCCCAGTAATAGAATATTGATCTACTGGATTCTGCATGCAGCTCTTAGCATGCCAAATATTCTTAGTGGGGTTAGTTGAATTACTTCCTTAATACACTATTTCAAATTGAGAAAGAAACCTACGGGAAAGAAGCAAAAAAAGAAGTCCAAATATATATTACTAATTAGATTAAACTGGATTAATCTGTCGTAGTAAGATTTGAAAATTGTGCACCTCGTGAACAATATATAACTAACCGCTCCAACTTAAGCATGCATTCAAGAGACAGACAAATCTATAATTTGACTCACATTCTTTGTTTTTGGAGACGTAACTACTATATCAGTACGTCATGACGGCAAAAAATTAGACAACTACTATAACTTTTTTATGCTATCAAGGAACGAATATAGAATCTATTCTTTGTTTATAAAGAATTCCCACCCTCATGCTTCTGAAATTATGTAGTCTGAAGCGCACTCTATATTGTTTTTGACACAGAAGAAAAAGAGAAAAGGAAGCACACTGATATTTTTGCCAAATGTTATGGGAAGATGATGACAAAGCAACAGGCAATAGTTTTCTCAATCAATTGCAAAATTTGAAGGAGCTCTGTACACCGATAGAAAGATCTAAATGATCAAGTAAAAAACCTAAGACAACTAACCTCATGATATAGACTTCCTGGGCAAACTCTTTCTTCCAATCTGAACTTACATTCTCTGCCTTGAGAACCTTGATGGCCACGTCCTGACTACAATATGTACCTCTAAACCTGTTTTAAACGGAAGAGTTGGTTTCTTGACGAATGAACAATATCTGGCAATAACATAAAAATATCTATTAAACTGTCATAAAGGAAGACAAATATTTCTGGATTACTCACAGTTCACCAAATGACCCAGATGCAATTTTATTTCCATATTTCAAATGTTTAGGCTCTATCTCCCAAACATCTGACCCATCATTTGGTATCACCAAATGACCTTCTTCACATTTCATCTCCCCTTGATCAGTCTTACCGACATAAAACCCTGATTGCTGAGTAGGAAATGCTTGCCTCTGAATACAAACCCAAGTCCGAAACAACTCAGGCATACATCATTGAAAACAAATAAAACTGAAATCCAGGAGGGACAACCGCATGTCATGTGACAGAAACTACTACCAAAGATTTGACAAGCTAGATATTAGTCAAGCGATTATCTGTGAACACAATAAAGCACCTGACCTACCTCAATCAACAATACTTCTTTCTCCAAAGCTGCTTTAAGCTGCTGTGTTTCCTGTTTCAACATCAAGTCTGTCAATTAGTGCCCCATAAATCAAACCTTTGGTGACGTTAAATCGTAATAAGAAAGAGTGAAAGTGATGGAAACAGTAACATAAACAGTATATTCCATTCCAGGACCAAGCTTGCCAAGCTGGTTCTTGTAAACCCAAAGATGATTTTTTATGACGTAGTATAGAATTAGCTAAATCTGGAATATACAGTAATCCTTTTCAGCAATCATCATATCCGTTTAAAATATATGGTACATAAGCTTTCGACAAAACTGGTCATTTTGATTAGCGTTATGCATCTATATCACCTGATTCAACCCGTTGATTGTGAAATGACTACCAACATACCTCGTAGGGCCATCCGTCAACAACAAACACATCTAGTGAGTAGCCATCAGTAGTGGAAAAGGCGTGTGCCTCTCTGATGTTTAAACCAATTTCAGCCAGCAAAGAGGTTAACTGCAGGATGGAATGAAAACTGTAAAATTTCAATACCAAACATGTGCCCTCATTGATTACTTAGATTTAAAAATTAGCCTCATGGAAGTTTAAATAAGAAGGCTGCGAGTATAACAATAGAAGCTTCTTTAAGTGTCTGTTCCAGTGAACTCATGCAGTAGGCAACCATCAATCACGAGTTGCATATGCTCTCATACAGATGTTATTTTCATTAGAAAACTTATCATACCTGACTGAGAAGCTTTGGCTTGTCATCTGTAGAAAAGGTGATTTCATGCATGGGCCTACAACATTGTCATTGGCAGATTTTTATATTTTAATCAAATCCAAAATATAATTCAATATTATCAAAAATCTAGAAAAGAAATGCTACTAAAGCAGCTCAAACATTAATGCGAATTTTAATCAGGCATACTTTGAATGTTTTAAAATTTGTAATATTCTTGAAAACGTGTAAATTCCATCACTGGACCAGAGGATGATTGATAATCTTCAGCACCTCAAGTACATCAAAGCTTATCATAGAACTCAAAACAGTGTGTGTGTACGTGTGCACGTGTTTGACAGTGTATGTGTGTGTTTGTGTGTGAAAGTTGCGACATAGCTAATGGGTTACATCTCCAGAAACACAACCATGTGAAAATCAGAGCATTATATAGGGTGGGGTCCAGCTAAGTTTTTCCATAAAAAGGGCTAGAGACAAGAAGCTTACTGAGAATGATTAGCACTCCCATGCACAGAGTGTTCCTCATATTCAGATTTATTAGCTTCAAGTGCCAGTGCTTCAAGATTAGGAGAAGAACCAAAAGCAGGAGGAGGGTGAATACTGAAAATCAATAGTCAATAATCAATTATACATAAATGCCAAAAATCATGAAGAAACTGAGGTTTAGGAAAATTGTACTTGAAAAATTTCACAAGAGTTTCAGGAAACTGAGGAAGAAAGAGAAGAAGAAACTAATACCTCAATCTCCTTGAGTACTTTGGAGAGGTTTCACAAGCTTCTTCCCTAGGTACATCTGAATGCATGGAGTCAGCTGAATTTCCATCAGATATGGGATAAATCTGTACAATCAGTCCAATCCAAAAATGGTATTGCCCTTATGAAGTGTGAAAAAAATATAGAAGTGCACAGTATCGAAATTGAATCTAAGAATAACTTTCTAATAGAAACCTAAGACTAACTTCTTTACAGGAAAAGAAAACTTCTTTTCTAATTTAGAATTTTGATGATATAACAGAAGAGACAATTAAGCAGCAATTCAACTAAACGAATGCAGATTAATTTTTGTTCCCTGCGGACAAGACATAAACATGACTCGTGCAAATGAGAGAAGTTTGTACTTATCTCAGTGCAAGTCTAAATAAATGGATCCTATGCACAGTACTCAATGCTGTATGAAGACAGTATAACATTCAAACAAGCTATTTAATTTCTTCAGCCATTGGTATAGTGAAATATCATGGCCATGCTAATACCACAGTCACAACTAAGTGATTGTATATTGCTATTAAGTCTACCAGCTACAGCTAAGAAGTTTAAATTCCAACTAGTTGCGGCTTCAAGTACAAGAAAGCCTTTCACAAGTAGATGTTGGACTATGTCTCAGCCAGTGAGAAATGATGGAAGCTCAACAAGATTGTGAATTCTGTAGAGTAAATTGCTTCCACAGTTACACAGAAAATATCTGGCAAAAAATGGCTCACTCCACCCAGATGAAATAGAAACAAATCTGAGGATTTGTAATTCAATATAAGACTTATCAACTAATAAGCGCAAGGATCTGCATGCATAGCTGGGTCAACCAGAATCACCCAAACCAACCCACCCACCTGGACTAGGCGAACTTCAATTGCAGGCCTATTGGCAGGGTCATGAGCCAAATGCAGTAGTCTCTTATGCGTGAGGACATCTGCTGCCCTTTCCACATTAACATCCAATGCATATCTGCAATGCGTGACCAAGAAGAAGACAAAACACAGCCATAATCAATGATGTCACAGCAATGAACATGAATCACAACAATCAGGATATGAATTGAGAGAGCCAAAAACAACAAGACACAAATTCAACTGCAGAATCTCGTTGAAGAAAGTAAAGTGAAAACGATTAGATGGGGGAAAGGCAACTGGTCGTTGAATGACATTTTTTCTTTAAATGAAAGCATGTTTACACTTGAAGTGAAACCAATCTACTTCCAACATCTTCAGACGGAGAACTATATGAAAAGAAACGAAAGGAAAAGAAAAGGAAAAGGGCGGAAAACATGCTTGACAATGACAGGAAAATTAAATACGAAATAGATGAGATTAAGGAACGGGGTGAAGTAAGTTTGATAAATGCGAAAACATCAGCTACAGGCAACAATTACGAGCGCACACGGGGAAAAAAATCAGCAAGAGGGAGGTGGGTGGGGTAACTGTAGAGACCGTGTTGGGAGGCGGTTGAAGTGACCCCAAAGTTGATGGTCGAAGTCAGGCTGCATAGCCTCGTCGTTGTTGGAGTTCTTGAGGCGACGAAGAACCTCGCGGTACACTCTGAACTTGTGACTCTGTTGCCGACTTTGAGGCGTTGAAGACACAGCAGGAACTCTGCCGGCGTCAGCCTGATCCATGAGCATGGAATGGATGGCAAGGAAATACAGGTGTGAATTCAAACGAAAGAAAAGAGCAGCAACGGAGATTGGTGCGGAGATCTATGGACGCTTGTACATGCAGCAGTGAAAATGGCTCGATCGTGAAAGACGGAGGATATGGATATGAGAGTGCATATATAAGGAAAAAACCTTGCTCTTCACGGGGGCTGCGTTGATGGGGGGACGCATAATCTCAACAGAACAGCTTTACATGCTTTCAGCCTTTCACCCATCCTTGTCAGTTGAAAGTTAAAATAGCAAGATTATTATTATCAGTTAAATATTTAACCATTTTGGTGCCTACTTTCTACGCCGTGCCGTATGGCCGGGGCCCTCACATGATAGTAATAATAACAATAATAATCAGAATATTACATTCATCAAAGTTCAGTAGTTAAAACGGTAATAAGCATTCGTGAATGAATGAAGTTTTAGCGAAAAATGTGAAACACGGGAAGAGGCTTATTGGCAGATGAATGGACGGCGTGGTGCTGACTCAGGAAAACGGAAAAGAAGGAGCAGATCTACATCCACAATGGACGCCCCCCTTTCTCATCTCATGAATTAAAAAAATAGTAAATAATGAAATCTTAATCTTATCCCATAGACTAATACTAGAAGACTACAGATGGTATTGGTGCGGTCCTACCATACCTGGGATCGCAGCTGCGAGGGGGCGAGACCAATTCCCGGGAGTGTAGCTATAACACGTTGATGCTGAAGGGCAATTAAAAATACAGTTGACGATGATCATATAGAGATTGATCAGATTAAAGAATAAAGAGGCATATTCTGGTTGTCCTATTACATACATGTGGACATATCAAGTTGACGATTTTCCTTTGCCCGGGAAGACGGTGAAGGAGGAGGGCACGGTCAAACAGGAAGAAGAGGCGAAATTGACCGCAAGTTGTTAAAGAATGGAGTTAGTTAGTTAATTAGAAGCGTGTGGGGGCGAAAAGAGGCCGTCACAGGGGATCAGGATCATGTTGTTGCCTGCCAAAATCCAATGAGTCAGCATTAATTTAACCAATCCAGTTGAATATAATACAAGAATAATGGGATGAGTAAAACCGAGGAAGCCAGGTCCGAGGTGAGAAGAGGAGAATCGGGGGCGGCAACCTGTGCGGGCGGAATAATCCGACGCCCGGGGCGTCAGTGGAGGCTGACGTGGAAACACGCAAGTCCGTGACGTGCACACCTGACCCTTCGCCCTCATCAAGGGACGCCCGCCCCTCGATTAACCCCTTTTTGGTTTATTCAAGTCAAAAATTAACACAATTCATTCAACAGCGCAACATTTTCGGGGGGATTATACTTACTAAGGTTTCTCAGTCATTTTCATCATATTTTATCATCAGTAATTGAAAATATGTGATCCGCTGCTTTATTCATTCACGCTTGGACAGTAAGTGCTCGTTTGGATTAGTAGTGAACAATTGTAATTTTAGATAATCGTGAATTTTATAAGTGATACTGGCTATAAGTGACACTAGTTTATCGTGATTTCTGTTTGGATATTTTTTTTATAAGTGATTTTAAGAATTGTGATTATGTTTGGTTTTTATTTATTAAAATCACTTATGGGTGTATAATTACTAAAAAAGACATGAAGTTAATAAAGGTGTTTACATTTTCATAATTATTATATTTAATAATAAATTTTATTAAATATAGTTTAATAAATGACATGAATATTTAAATATTATTTTTATTTTAAAATTATTATTATTTAAAATCACTTACAAAATTTATGTGTAGTACAAATATTAAATAAAAGACCCCATATAAATAAGAGATGAATGAAAATATAAAAAAAAAAATTTGATTAGCAATTTTAGTAACATCAATAAGGAAATTGAATGTTCAGTCAAAATTATAACTAAGAAATAAAATTTAAACAACAAAACTAATTAATAAAAATGATAGCTAATTATTTTTCCTACATTGCAGAATTTGATCTCGAATTGAGTCTCGAAGACGATCCATTTCTAATGAGGAAACTATGTTGCCACTTGGCGATGGATATGAAATAACATGATCATCATAATTACCTTTGAGAATATTTTCATTTTCATACTGACTAAATTTAAAATCAGTCTCAGTATGCCTTCTAATAAAATTGTGGATAGCCATGATTGCAATGACTATTTGAACTTGTGTTAGAAAAACAGTTTCATATTGTATTTAAAAAAATTAAAATAATTACCATTAGAATGAGGGATAGATTGGAGAAAATTTAGTTACTAAATATTCATCAGGATTTTTCAAACGCATAGACTACTTCTTGTTGCTTATCCTAAAAGTGTGGTATAAAGTTAAAATCACGATTCATCGGGATTTTATAAAAATTATCCAAACACCCTAAACATGCTTCATAAGCACTTATTTGAATTTAAACGGACTTATTTGAGATCCTACCGCTTAACCAAACAGGCTCTAAGTTATGGGAAACTCTAAACTTCATTCAAACGTGATTTGATCTTCTTAATTATATTGTATAATTCTCTTGTATGCCTTCTAATAAAATTGTGGATAGCCATGGTTACAATGGCTATTTGAACTTGTGTTAGAAAAACAGTTTCATATTGTATTTAAAAAAAAATTAAAATAATTACCATTAGAATTAGGGATAGATTGGAGAAAATTTAGTTACTGAAGATTCATCGGGATTTTTCAAACGCATAGACTACTTCTTGTTGCTTATCCTAAAAGTGTAGTAGAAAGTTAAAATCACGATTCATCGGGATTTTATAAAAATTATCCAAACACTCTAAACATACTTCATAAACACTTATTTGAATTTAAACAGACTTATTTGAGATCCTACCGTTTAACCAAATAGGCTCTAAGTTATGGGAAACTCTAAACTTCATTCAAACGTGATTTGATTTTCTTAATTATATCGTATAATTCTCTTCTAAGTTCAATTGTTTGGAAGGCGGAGGCGCAGGCGAGGAAACTTGTTGAGGCCTAAACTGATTTTCATTTTCTCGTCCATATAATCATATTTTTCCCACCAAACAATCTTCATTATTAGAACTATCTTATGCCAAACAATAACTTTTAGTTTGGATAGCAAGAAAAATAAAAATAAAAAAGTATTAGAAGGAAAACCCCTCAACAATAGCATTTTTTTTTTTTGAAAAATGACACTAAAATACCGCTTGAATTCCAAAAAGACACATAAGGAACCTGAATAAGTAAAATGACAAAGAAGGCATCAGGTACCAATCTGGAATTTTGATTTTTGGCCTAAAGACTGAATTGCCCTTATTGTGTTCGCCTCCTCCCAGCGAAAGCAATTCCCCCCACTCGGCGAAAGAGAAACTGCCCCCACTTGGCGAAACCAATCCATCTACTCGGTGAAACTAATCCCTCCCCTCAGTGAAACCGAATCCCTCTACTCGATGAAACCAATCCCTCCACTCCACGAAACCGAACCCCCTCCAGTTGACGAAACTAAATCCTTCGCACCACCATTCTGTAGAGATTGTTGATTTGGTGGGTTTTGGTTGTGGGAAAGAGGATTTGTAGTGAGAGAAGGAGTGAACCGAAGCGGAAATCAGAAAACTGGCAAGCAATTACGTAACGTAACTGCTGTCATATGCCTGCTGGTTTTTGGTAAATCCCATTACGTGAATGGTAAATTTCACTATACATGTAGTTAATTATGAATTTTACAAAATACATATTGTGATTTACAACTTTTGTAGTGAAAGTGACTACTTTGTTAATGGGTTTTGCAACCTGTTTTCAGGAGATAAACAACTTGTTTGTAAAAACTAATAAAAGTGACAACTTTTGTAGTCACGTTGAATTAACTGGTTGCAAAAGCCATTTAAGAAGTGGTCATTTTCACTACAAAAGTTGTAAATATCACTGTGTGTTTTGTAAAATTCAGCGTCAAATTTTATTGATTTTTAGAAACAAGTTGCTCATCCCCTGAAAAGAGGTTGCAAAACTCATTTAAGAAATGGTCATTTTCACTATAAAAGTTGTAAATATCACTGTGTGTTTTGTAAAATTCAGCGTCAAATTTTATTGATTTTTAGAAACAAGTTGCTCATCCCCTGAAAAGAGGTTGCAAAACTCATTTAAGAAGTGGTAATTTTCACTACAAAAGTTGTAAATATCACTGTGTGTTTTGTAAAATTCAGCGTCAAATTTTATTGATTTTTAGAAACAAGTTGCTCATCCCCTGAAAAGAGGTTGCAAAACTCATTTAAGAAGTGGTAATTTTCACTACAAAAGTTGTAAATATCACTGTGTGTTTTGTAAAATTCAGCATGGAATTTTATTGGTTTTTAGAAACAAGTTGCTCATCCCCTGAAAAGAGGTTGCAAAACTCATTTAAGAAGTGGTAATTTTCACTATAAAAGTTGTAAATATCACTGTGTGTTTTGTAAAATTCAACATGGAATTTTGTTGGTTTTTAGAAACAAGTTACTCATCCCCTGAAAAGAGGTTGCAAAACTCATTTAAGAAGTGGTAATTTTCACTACAAAAGTTGTAAATATCACTCTCTGTTTTGTAAAATTCAGCATGGAATTTTATTGGTTTTTAGAAACAAGTTGCCAATTCCTTGAAAAGAGGTTGCAAAACTCATTTAAGAAGTGGTAATTTTCACTACGAAAGTTGTAAATCTCACTATGTGTTTTGTCAAATTTAGTAGGAAATTTTATTAGTTTTTAGAAACAAGCTGCCCATCCCCTGAAAACAAGTTACAAAACCCATTGAATAAGTGGTCATTTTTACTACGGAAGTTGTAAATCCCACTATACGTTTTGTCAAATTTAGCGTGAAATTTTATTAGTTTTTACAAACAAGTTGTTTATCTCCTGAAAACAGATTGCAAAACCCATTAACAAAGTAGTCACTTTCACTACAAAAGTTGTAAATCACAATATGTATTTTGTAAAATTCATAATTAACTACATGTATAGTGAAATTTACCATTCACGTAATGGGATTTACCAAAAACCAGCAGGCATATGACAGCAGTTACGTTACGTAATTGCTTGCTGATTTCCGCTTCGGTTCACTCCCTCTCTCACTACAAATCCTCTTTCCCACAACCAAAATCAACAATCTCTACAGAATGGTGATGCGAAGGAGTAAGATAATAGCATTTCCAACATTCTTCTTTCCTTCTTCCCGCATTTCATCAGCGTCGGTCTT